GAGGCGACAAGGTCCCTCAGATGCAGTCTGTGAACCTCAAGTTTGGTGGAATGCCACAAGCGTTCGATTTTACTGCAGGATCTCCGCAGATTCACAACAGTGTCATTAATCCAGGGACAGGACTGCTGATGCTCCAGATTATTAGTTTTAAAAGGAGCTTCTTGATCCGAGATGGAGCTCATCCATTTCGGTGCAGTCATGTACTACTTTAGCAGGTAGAGTGCGAGGATCTGAAGACCCCAGCAGATCGAAAAACACCGTAATGGTCACTTAAGTGCACATCCTGCAGGCCCAGTGTAAAGACCAGATCTAATGTGTGGCCTTTCACATGAGTGGAGCCTGAGACATGCTGCGTGAAATTAAAAGCTTCCGTCGTGGATACAAAATCAGCAGCTAGACCAGAAGAGTCCTCAATGTGCAGATTAAAGTCTCCAAGGATTAAGACCTTCTCTAGTCTTAAAATTGACGGGAAAAAAGTCCGTAAACTCGGCTAAGAAAGCACCAGCAAGGCCGGGGGGGGCGATACATCAAAACACAATAAAATGTGTTTGAAGAACGGGCAGGGCGTCCCAACAACAGAGCAATCCGCTGGATACAGTTCATTCAGATGGATAAACTCATCTTCCCGTTGCCACGTTTCAACGAGGAAAAGGAAGTTCAAGACTTTTCTGGAGAAGAGCTCATTTATTGAGAAAGACTTATTTGCAATGGAGCGGGTGTTTAGTAATCCAAAACGGCCGAACGAAGGTGATCAGCTGCGTGATCAGCTGAGCGCTTTGGAATCTGCCGCAGACATCTCATGCGGTCACGTGACGTACCGCTGGTCCAGAGACGGTCCACAGGAGTAAACACGGGAGGCCGGTACAGCGTCGGGTCCAGTCTGCTCCACCATGGATCCAGTCTGCTCCCGTGTAGAGTGGAGACCCGGTGGGACGCGGTAGGGAGGCAGCGCTGTCCAGCGCGCCCTGCTGCCAGAGGGGAATGGGACGCAGCCACCTGTAGCTTGGCGCTGGACGAGCGTGACCAAACAGCTTCCAAGCGGCTCGTCTGATCTGGACCTGGACACCAGCTCTGCAGCCTCTGCGCCTCGCCCTCTTGTTGGATTTACCCGGGGGTTGCAACAACCACAGGTACTCCGTGGAAGTGGGGGCGAAGGTGAACCGGGGAGGAAAAGTTTTCCTGTAGTTGCCCCAGTCATTGAAGCGGCGCTCCATACACGCTTTAATATCAAAAAGAGCGCTGCAATCCTAAGTCCGTACAGCCACGGCACGGTCGCTGGCCATGGTGTTGCTGAGGTGTTGTGACACAGGCTAAAGGTGGTGCTGAGGTGTTGAGACACAGGCTAAAGGTGGTGCTGAGGTGTTGCGACACAGGTTAAAGGTGGTGCTCAGGTGTTGCGACACAGGCTAAAGGTGGTGCTGAGGTGTTGCGACACAGGCTAAAGGTGGTGCTGAGGTGTTGCGACACAGGCTAAAGGTGGTGCTGAGGTGTTGAGACACAGGCTAAAGGTGGTGCTGAGGTGTTGCGACACAGGCTAAAGGTGGTGCTGAGGTGTTGAGACACAGGCTAAAGGTGGTGCTGAGGTGTTGTGACACAGGCTAAAGGTGGTGCTGAGGTGTTGCGACACAGGCTAAAGGTGGTGCTGAGGTGTTGCGACACAGGCTAAAGGTGGTGCTGAGGTGTTGTGACACAGGCTAAAGGTGGTGCTGAGGTGTTGAGACACAGGCTAAAGGTGGTGCTGAGGTGTTGTGACACAGGCTAAAGGTGGTGCTGAGGTGTTGCGACACAGGCTAAAGGTGGTGCTGAGGTGTTGAGACACAGGCTAAAGGTGGTGCTGAGGTGTTGCGACACAGGCTAAAGGTGGTGCTGAGGTGTTGAGACACAGGCTAAAGGTGGTGCTGAGGTGTTGTGACACAGACTAAAGGTGGTGCTGAGGTGTTGCGACACAGGCTAAAGGTGGTGCTGAGGTGTTGCGACACAGGCTAAAGGTGGTGCTGAGGTGTTGCGACACAGGCTAAAGGTGGTGCTGAGGTGTTGCGACACAGACTAAAGGTGGTGCTGAGGTGTTGTGACACAGACTAAAGGTGGTGCTGAGGTGTTGCGACACAGGCTAAAGGTGGTGCTGAGGTGTTGCAACACAGACTAAAGGTGGTGCTGAGGTGTTGCGACACAGGTTAAAGGTGGTGCTGAGGTGTTGCGACACAGGCTAAAGGTGGTGCTGAGGTGTTGAGACACAGGCTAAAGGTGGTGCTGAGGTGTTGTGACAAAGGCTAAAGGTGTTGCTGAGGTGTTGCGACACAGGCTAAAGGTGGTGCTGAGGTGCTGTGACACAGGAGGATCACAGTGGCCCTGATGGTGTTCCCTGGGGAAGATATTTATGGAGACACATTTGTTTTTTTATGACTGACGTCCATCTTTCTAGATTGTAGTCGGTGGTCACATGGTCTGCATGGGGTTCCCAGCAGAGGCCCTTTATGTCGCCTGTCAAGAAATGTTTTATTAGTATATTAATAAATGTATGGATCATAATGTGTGTTGAATGTGTCAGCAGCATTCAAATGTTAAAGACTGCTGACAACTTCTTCAAGTCATGAGATTTCATGTGACTCTGGCAGAACAATAGCTATCTTAGACAGAGGCCTGTCATGGGATGCATATGGAATGTCATGATTCTGCAATACAATGCCTGTGAATGTATGATTCCAGTCATGGGTTGACTTGACCCATTTGGGGTCTCTACTTAAGCAAGTTCCTTCATTCATTGTCTTTTTGCTTTCCATCTTGCAGGACCCAGACTTTTTAGTCTGTAATCTGTCTGTGTGTGGTGATGTCAGATTACTGTAGTTTGAACCAGCAATTTATTAAAGAGATTATGTTGTTGAAATGTGAGCAGTTTTATTCACATCGCCCCAGTCTGTAAATAAAAACATTATACCATTCTTTGTTCTTCTCTTAATGTGTGAAAGATGTGTATTTTAATGTGGTGATTATTTTATTTCTTAGTTTATTTGAACAGGGACAGTTCATGAAAACAGTCACAACTCTACTGAGCTCAGAACAGCTATGGACTCCTGCCACTTAAACACATTATTTTTGTTATAAGCTGCACATTGTTATTTTAAGAGTAGTGCAAAAAGAGTCACTCTCTGGCAGGCACCCTCTGATTTTTTATATTGTTTTGTTTGTTTTTGTTGTTTTCCTCTTGACAGAGAACAAGATCATTATCTTTATAAAATACTAGGGCTGTCCAATGATTACAATTTTTAATCGAGTTAATTACAGCTTAAAAATTAATTAATCGCATTTCGAACTATCGACAAAATGCCATATTTTTCTGTAAATGGTTGTTAGAATGGAAAGATAAATGACAACATAGTGAACACATGTACAGTATTTGTTTATTATAACAACAATAAATCCTCATAAAATGGCACTAACATTATTAACATTCTGTCTTTCTGTAGTAGACACTGTTTTTTCAGCTCGACATATGCCGCATCTGCTAAAGCCTCCTCTTTCTTCTTCATCTCTGTCTCATATCATCTGCTAAAGCCTCTTTCTTCTTCTTCTCTGTCTCATATCATCTGCTAAAGCCTCTTTCTTCTTCTCTGTCTCATATCATCTGCTAAAGCCTCCTCTTTCTTCTTCTTCTCTGTCTCATATCATCTGCTAAAGCCTCCTCTTTCTTCTTCTTCTCTGTCTCATATCATCTGCTAAAGCCTCCTCTTTCTTCTTCTTCTCTGTCTCATATCATCTGCTAAAGCCTCCTCTTTCTTCTTCTTCTTCGTCTCATAAAGGCTGTGGATCCTCTTCATTATTGTGCCTCTACAAACTATACTTTGTTTCAGGGATGAGAACGGGACATTTGAAAAAAGTCTGAAAAGCATGTTTCCCCCCCCCCCCTCCAGGGGGCGCTGATGTCAGTGCTTCAAGATCAGGAAGCTTTTGGACATCGTCCTCAGGCTGTGACCATCAGAGTCTGGACCAAGTCTCTCTGGACATGTATGTGAGCTGTCCTGGGTCAGGTACCCCAGCTTTAATGCTTTAATGCATCTACTCTTTGTCACCACTAGATGTCATCGTTCAGAGAGAGAGGACACTTCACAATATGCAACACTTCTATTCTGATAAACAGGAACTCAAACAAAAATATACACATCTTTTCTACAAATAAACATTATTTTGGCTCGTTTTATCTTTTTGAAATTTGGCCCAAAACACTTTTACAAACAGCAGCAACTAACTGTGACCCAAACCTTTACCTGAGCCCAGGACACACAGGTTTACACTTCTGTACTCTGCAAACTTCATCTCAAATAAATCCAAAAGTCCAGAGGGTCTGTGTCTCTCACATGGGAACGCCTCAGGACTCCACTCTGTTGTGTTTCCATCCCACGCTAGTATCTGGTACCGTATCCTAGCAACCAACCACATCAAACCAGTATTCGGGGAATGGTAACCATGGTAACCTTGGCCTCCATCAGCTCTCGGGCCAATCACTGTCAGTTAGAACACTTTAGTTTGGCCTGGATAGAACCAGGGCTGAGCTGGTACTATTTGGGTAGAGCAGAGCAGAGCAGAGTAAGTAGATAATCTTTATTTATATACCGCCTTTCTCAGACCAGAGTCACAAAGCGCTTTACAATTGTTTTATTGTTTGTTTTTAGTAGCTTTTGAGTAAAGCTAAGTAGAGTAGAGCAGAGCAGAGTAGAGCAGAGCTTGGTGGAAACAGGGCTTCAGTAACTTTTGTGCTTAAAGGTGATGTCAGTTCTGACCATGGGACACTGTACTATTATCTACAGTAAGTATTTTCCATCAATAATATATTTAAAATACTACTTCCTCTTGACATAACTACAACCAGTCACATTTGCTGGAAGAGAACAGTTAAACCAATCACGAGGGGCCTCAGGAGTTAACTTTGGATCTATTTTGTCCAATCAGGAGGCTGTATGGAGGATTGTGGGCGGGGCTAAGCAGTCTCTAACAGTTTGAAGACGTCAAACAGCTTCATTTCGCAGCTTAAACAAATGTTCCAGAACTTTGGGATCAGCGAGAGTCGACAAGTCGCCCAAGTCTCTGTCGTTACGAGCGACCTGCCTCAAAACCCGCCGCATGATCTTCCCTGGAAACAAGAGAGACAGCACAAGAGAGACGTCACGGCACGAGAGAGACGTCACGGCACGAGAGAGAAGTCACAGCACGAGAGAGACGTCACAGCACGAGAGAGACGTCACGGCATGAGAGAGAAGTCACAGCACGAGAGAGACGTCACAGCACGAGAGAGACGTCACGGCACGAGAGAGACGTCACAGCACGAGAGAGACGTCACGGCACGAGAGAGACGTCACGGCACGAGAGAGAAGTCACGGCACGAGAGAGACGTCACGGCACGAGAGAGAAGTCACAGCACGAGAGAGACGTCACAGCACGAGAGAGAAGTCATAGCACGAGAGAGAAGTGATAGCACGAGAGAGACGCCACAGCACGAGAGAGACGTCACAGCACGAGAGACGTCAAAACAGTGAGAGAGTGAGTGAGAGAGACCAGTGGGAGAGAGAAAGACCAGTGAGAGAGAGAGAGACCAGTGAGAGAGAAAGACCAGTGAGAGAGAGAGAGACCAGTGAGAGAGACCAGAGAGAGACCAGTGAGAGAGAGAGAGAGAGAGACCAGTGAGAGAGAGAGAGAGAGAGAGACCAGTGAGAGAGAGACCAGAGAGAGAGAGAGACCAGTGAGAGAGAGAGAGAGAGAGACCAGAGAGAGAGAGAGGCCAGTGAGAGAAGCCAGAGAGAGAGAGAGAGTCAAAACACATACTAAAGTCTGGAGCACAAAGGAGTTAACCCCTCCCAGCTGTAAACAGAGTCAATGGAGCACCTCCAGACCTTAGTATGAAATGTAATCTGTACTGTGGTGTGGTACGACCAGGCTCTATCAGAAAATAGAAGTCTCCATTTTGCAAAAAAAAAAACAAACTTGTGTGTGGACGGGACGTGATGGTAGAAGACTCCGCTAATATTTTGGGACGATCCTTGGTGGGGTATGTGCTCTCCGAGAACAGGTTCTAGTGGTTTTTCTCATTCCTGGTTCGATCCTGGGTCAGTCCTGGTTCGGTTCTGGTTCGGTCTTGGTTCAGTCCTGGTTCAGTCCTGGTTCAGACCTGGTTCGGTCCGGGGTCAGACCTGGTTCGGACCTGGTTCGGTCCTGGTTCGGTTCTGGTTCGGTCGTGGTTCGGTCCTGGTTCAGTCCTGGTTCAGTCCTGGTTCAGACCTGGTTCGGTCCGGGGTCAGACCTGGTTCGGTCCGGGGTCAGACCTGGTTCGGTCCGGGGTCAGACCTGGTTCGGTCCTGGGTACGACCTGGTCCTGGTTTGGTCCTGGTTCAGACCTGGTTCGGTCCAGTGTTGTGCGTGAACAAGTTCAAAAGAACGGGTTTATTGAACACGCTAATTTTTTTGTGAACGTTGAACTGAACGCAACACATTTTTCAAAAAAGAACTTGAACGTGAATTTGTTCATTTTATGTGTCATGAACGGCAGACATCTCTATGAACGTTGGAATCTGTTTTCTCTTTTGAAACGCAACGAGAGAAAGTTTCTCCCTCCTGTATTCTCGCACTTTTTCCACCAAAATCTTAAAATTCCTACGGTTTCCACAGTCTGTGAACGCTGTGTTGCGGTGCGGCGCTGTGAGCTGGTGCTTTTCCCATGTGCCCGAGTCGTGATGAAAACACAGGGTGAGTTAGCGACAAAGTTTACACCGTTTACATTTGACATAAAGTCAGACACAGAGTCGGAACTAAACATGGGGAGGCTGCTTTTCAGATTCATGCTGCTAAAATCTGGAACAATCTTCCTGAAGATGTGAGACAGGCCTCCTCTCTGACAATGTTTAAAACCAGGTTAAAAACGGTGCTGTTTAGCTGTGCATACAACTGAGGGATTTTATATTTTTATCTTTCGTTTTAATGTTCTGTAATTATTTATGATTTTAATGCTATCTTGTTCAGCACTTTGAGTTGCCTTGTGTATGAATTGTGCTATACAAATAAACTTGCCTTGCCTTGCCTTGCCTTAGACACACGCACTGCAGCGCATTACTGTCTGTAGTTTATGAGCAGAGATGGAACGACTCCGTTTGGCTCCCATTGAAAACCATGTAGATCTAGTCTGTTTTGTAGTCAAAAGACTCTCCTCCTGCGGGTGTACAGGAGATATATATATATATATATATATATTAGGGCTGTCAAACGATTAATTTTTTTAATCGAGTTAATTACAGCATAAAAATTAATTAATCGTAATTAATCGCATTTCAAACTATTGGCAAAATTATGCCATATTTTTCTGTAAATGGTTGTTTGAATGGAAAGATAAATGACAGCTTAGTGAACATATGTACTGTATTTGTTTGTTTTAACAATAAATCCATATAAAATTGAATTAACATTATTAACATTCTGTCTTTTTGTTTAGACTCAGACCAAAACCATTGTTTGTTACAGATGAGGGACATTTCAAAATAGTCTGAAGCAGAATGTCATTAAATCTGTTTGATTTTCTCACACCATTACTTTTTTTGGCACAACTAACATGAACTGATGGTCGAAAGGAAAATTAGGTACCTCAGCTTTAATTTAGCGAGTGCGCTTCGGGAGAAGACACGGAGGAGACTGAGGCTCCGCAGTCCAGCTTCAGCGCTGTACATATTGTGTGCATCGGTTATGCAAAGACACGTACGCACACTAGAGAATAGTTCTGTAATAGTTCTGTGCGTGGTCTTGGATATGATCCTATTACGCAGCGACGTTCGCCGTGATCACAGCCGCTGGAAGTGGGAACTGTCCAGAGCGCTGTGGCGCCGCAGCTCATCATGCAGAGTTCATACAGGAAACAACAAGTGCCCCGCGGTCACGCGTGTATTCTTTCAAAACTTGAATTCCCAGAGGGCCTACCTGCTCTGTCCCCATCTTACACACGCGCATGTGTCCGCGGCATTCTGAGTGTTATTATGGGACGCATGGGCATGCGTCAAATGCGTTCATTTTTTTAACGCGATTAATGAAAAAAAATTAATTAACGTGCGTTAACGCGATAATTTTGACAGCCCTAATATATATATATATATATATATATATATTTATATAGAGTTATATATATATATATATATATATAATTATATATAGCTCGTAGTGTGAAAAAAATAGTATCTCACGAAAAAAGTAAAATGAACTGAACTTTGAACTAGTTCAGAATTAAAATTGTGAACTTTGAACGTGAACTGTTCACTTTGAGCATGTATGAACTGAACTTGAACTAGTTCAGAAAAGCTGTGAACTGGCACAACACTGGTTCGGTCCTCATTCGGTCCTGGTTCAGAACTGGTTCGGTCATGGTTCGGTCCTGGTTCGGTCCTGGTTCGGTCCTGGTTTTTACCTGAGCGTGTTTTGGGCAGAGCCGGGGCATTCTGGATAAAATCTGGAGTCGCTATTGGTCCAATTTTCTCCCTCACTGAAGAAACACAAACCATTATTTTTAGTTTCCACATAAAGCACAACATAAAGCACAACATAAAGGCAAAACATTATTATTACCATTATTATCATCATCCTCATCATCATTATTATTATCATCATCATTGTTATTATTATTATTATTTTATGATTATTACCAATTAAACAGTACAATTATTGGAATGACATTTCTCATATTGCTGAATTCAATTGAACAACATTTTCATTCTTCAGATTCTCATTAAGTTGAGACACAGATTTTAGTTTCGTTGGAGCATAATTCTGTTTCATTTTGAAGTCTCTCCTTTTACTAAAATCAGAGAGAATTCAGTCTGTTTGCCGCACGGCGCTGGGACAATGGCTGGGTTATTCTTGCACAGTTTTTTCCAATGGCTGTGGTCGCAAGGTCTCTGGTGCTGGTCCCGGCGGCAACCCCCGAACCCGGTGGTGGACACCGGCAGTAAGGGATGCCGTCAGGCTGAAGAAGGAGTCCTATTGAGCAATGATGGTTCGGGGGACTCCGGAGGCAGCTGTCCAGTACCGGCAGGCCAAGCGTGCCGCGGCCCAGGCTGTTGCAGAGGCAAAAACCCGGGACTGGGAGGAGTTCGGAGAGTCCATGTAGCATGACTATCGGTCGGCCTCGAAGAGGTTCTGGCAAACCGTCCGGCGCCTCAGGAGGGGGAAGCAGTTCTTTGCCAACACCGTGTATGGTGCGGGTGGAGGGCTGCTGACCTCGACTGGGGATATTGTCGGGCGGTGGAAGGAATACTTCGAGGTTCTCCTCAACCCCCCTGTCACGTCCTCCGTCCAGGAGGCAGAGGATGTTGGGGCGGATACTTCCATCTCCCTGGCCGAGGTCACCAAGGTGGTTGGCAGCCTCCATGGTGGCAAGGCGCCGGGAGTGGATGAGATCCGTCCTGACTATCTAAAGTCTCTGGATGTTGTAGGACTGTCTTGGCTGACACGTCTCTGCAACATCGCGTGGCGATCGGGGGCGGTGCCAATGGAGTGGCAGACCGGGGTGGTGGTCCCTCTCTACAAGAAGGGGGACCAGAGGGTGTGTTCCAATTATCGTGGGATCACACTCCTCAGCCTCCCCAGTAAGGTCTACTCCAAGGTACTGGAGAGGAGGCTACGATCCGATGGTCGAATCTCGGATTCAGGAGGAGCAGTGTGGTTTTCGTCCCGGTCGCGGAACACTGGACCAGCTCTATACTCTCCATCGGATACTCGAGGGTTCATGGGAGTTCGCCCAACCTGTCCACATGTGCTTTGTGGATTTGGAGAAGGCGCTCGACCGTGTTCCCCGGGGTGTCCTTTGGGGGGTCCTCCGGGAGTACGGGGTCCGGGGTCCTCTGCTGAGGGGCGTCCGGTCCCTGTATGACCGGAGTCAGAGCTGTGTTCGCATTGCCGGCAGTAAGTCAGACCTGTTCCCGGTGCATGTTGGCCTCCGCCAAGGCTGCCCTTTGTCACCGGTTCTGTTCATTGTATTTTTGGACAGAATTTCTAGGCGCAGCCAGGGGCCGGAGGGGGTCCGGTTCGGGAACCACAGGATTTCATCTCTACTTTTTACGGATGATGTCCTCCTGCTGGCTCCAACGAACCAGGACCTGCAGCATGCACTGGGGCGGTTTGCAGCCGAGTGTGAAGTGGCTGGGATGAGAATCAGCACCTCCAAATCCGAGGCCATGATGCTCGACTGGAAAAAGGTGCCTTGCCCTCTTCAGGTGGGTGAAGAGGTCCTTCCTCAAGTGGAGGAGTTCAAGTATCTCGGGGTCTTGTTCACGAGTGAGGGAAGGATGGAGCGTGAGATTGACAGGCGGATCGGTGCAAGCGTGCGCAGTGATGCGGTCTCTGTATCGGACCGTTGTGGTAAAGAGGGAGCTGAGCTGAAAGGCGAAGCTCTCGATTTACCGGTCAATCTTCGTTCCCTCCCTCATCTATGGTCATGAGCTGTGGGTAATGACCGAAAGAACGAGATCGCGGATACAAGCCGTCGAAATGAGCTTCCTCCGCAGAGTGGCTGGGTGCTCCCTTAGAGATAGGGTGAGGAGCTCGGTCACACGGGAGGAGCTCGGAGTAGAGCCGCTGCTTCTCCACGTCGAGAGGAACCAGTTGAGGTGGCTCGGGTTTCTGTTCCGGATGCCTCCTGGACGCCTTCCTGGGGAGGTGTTCCGGGCACGTCCCACCGGGAGGAGGCCCCGGGGAAGACCCAGGACACGCTGGAGAGACTATGTCTCTCAGCTGGCCTGGGAACGCCTTGGGGTCCCCCGGACGAGCTGGAGGAGGTGTGTGTGGATAGGGAAGTCTGGGCGTCTCTGCTTAGACTGCTGCCCCCGCGACCCGGCAACGGATAAAGCGGAAGAAAATGGATGGATGGATGGAGTTTTTCCAATGTGGTTTTACTGCAAATGGCAAATACATTCATCTTGAATCTATTTAACCTCTTAAACTCCTACATCTGTTTTGGCTCGTGCACAAAAGTTGGGCATACCCAAATGTCTCACAGGTTTGTGTGATGCATAATTTTAAAGCTAGAGCCTTCTAGTTTATGTAAATATACACCAAAATAATGTATGTCATTCCTATTTCACTCTGCATCCTTTAAAGTTTGGGAAAAAATATAGTTTTTTTTAGCCTCGCTTAAAAAATTCAATGTATAAATGCCCTAAAAAAGCCTACTTCATTGGAAGAAGAAAAATTTCAACGCCAATTTGTTCATTGTGTTGTTGACAACAACTGTGTAAAGTTTCAGACTTCTAAGTTTTATAGTTTTTATGCAGTTTCTCTTTTTTATCAAGTAGTGCCATTGGGAACCAATTTGGCAAAATTTGTGCCAAATTGTGCCAAACTGCTTTACTAACATTTCACCATCATAAAAAGCACATTTTTTTAGTTTTGGTACTTATAAGTTACAAATCTGTGTGATTTTCTTTTACATTTTTTCAAAATATTTTTTTTAGTAGTGTAAATGCATATAAAATATGCGCAGCAGTATTAACAGCGTCTTTACCAGTGGGGGCGGGTTTCGGCTCAAAAGTGGCCAAAATGACGTGCGCTGACATGCTGCAATACCACCCCGGGCCGATGGGGGTGGACCCAGAAGTAGAATTAGCCAATGCTAACATATAGCATTGGCAGACCTCTCAAAAACGTCTTTAGAGGATGGACCAAAAGTTGGCTCTTGGCCCAAAGCTCCGTTCCACATGTGTGTCAATGCTGAGGGGGGTGGATTTTTTTGGTCCACTCCAGTTTACTTGCTGTGAATCTTTGAAGTCTCTCGTTCAAATGAATGGAGTTGCGCCGGCTGACGCATGCGCAGATGCTTTTTTTCACAATCTTCTTGTGGGTGGGACCACTCCCGGCCATTTTGGATTCCTCCAGTAGAGCACATTTTTTGGCCCATTAGTTAGAACGGCGGAGATAGGCGTGACTCTGTCCATTAATATATACAGTCTATGGTCTTTACGCACGCTTTTACTGTGAAAATAAAAAGCTCTGAATGAAAAGAAAGCTCTTTTTATTGGCTACTTAGACACGTCAATCATTCAGTGCTAGCACATTTGCCTTGTTGTAATCAACAACAAGGCAAAAAAGGACCCTCTGCAAGTGGATGCGGTTTGTCTTTTTCACAAGGGTCCTGCGGACTGAAACCTGCTCCTATCTTTTCATGGAACCTCTCTTTTTGAAGCTAAGGACTCAAGGAACACGTGGATATGATGTTTGTGGGGCTAAACAAAGCTCAAACTTGGTGAAATGTGAAAGAGTAGCCTGAACATCTTTCGGAGCGTTTTTTTTTTTTTTGCATTCTTCAGATTATTTCTGAAGAATGGATTATACTTTGAAATACCTATACCTGAAAGATCAAGGCTATGCTCACAGTCAGAGAGCAGCCGTTCTCCTGTGGACTCACCACCTGCAGAGCGTCAGTGAGGGGCTGGTGCTATGAGACTTGGGTGGCATCTCTGATTGCCACCCCCCTCACCCAGAAATGGATTAAAGGGTAGAAAATGGATGGATGGATGGATGGATTATACTTTGGGAAATACAAGTAGATATACTTTTTCAATGAAGACTTACGGAGAGAAAGAGACGAAGCAAGGATGGGGAAAGTCTAATTAAATACTCACTCGGGCACATTAGATACGTCACGGTAAACTCAGATCCAATCGTTTCAATCTGCAAAAGGAGTTAACCCTAACCAGACCAGGCTAGTGCTTGTTTCTGTGTTATTTAGATTGTGATATGAAAAGTTTGATTGTATTGAGTTCGGGGGTGGGGCTCATGTGATTTTTGCTTCAGGTCAGCAGAATGAATACTGTTCAAACAAACAAATCGTAAAAATAAAACAAATTCTACCAGTTTTTTTCAACCAGAAATGTAATATTAGTGATTCAAAAGTATATTAGGAGGATTTTCCCAAAATTTTAGGAAAGAACCGCCCTCTCCACTTTTTGAACAAAACTCTCTGGTCTTATTGGACGAGCACCAGAATGATTGACAACTGGGAGGACCAATAGTCTTGATGATCCACCAGGAAATAGAAAATCCTCCTCTATACCTTAACTTTATATCGCGCCTTTCACAGACCAGAGTCACGAAGCGCTTTACAAATGTGGACTTTTGTCTCTCACTCCACACAGAGAGAGGAGTGAGGTCGCCAGTACAGGAGGCGCATGCCAGACCTATTGTACATGTTTTTAGTGGTAGGGGAAACCTACGCAGACACGGGGAGAACATGCAAACTCCACTCTGAAGTGTTCTCACCCAGAGTCTTGAGCTGCTGCACGAGGCTCAGGCTGAACTCTGTGCTTCCCTTCAGAGACACAAAGCAGTGCAGACACTCCCCTTTGACCTGATGGGGGCGCCCTACCACCGCAGCCTCAGCCACTGCAGGGTGCTCTGTGAGGGCGGCCTCCACCTCCGCGCTGCTCAACAAGTGACCTGCCACAACACCGTGTTTAGCATCAACTGTGTCAAGGATCTGGAGATCGATAGTTTCCATTACCTGACACGTTGAGCATGTCGTCGATTCGTCCCGTGATCCAATAATATCCATCTTTGTCTCTTCTGCAGCCTGAGGAAACAATGTTTGAACCTTTGGAATCGTAGAATAAATGCAGCCGTGTCTCACCGTCTCCCGTCATGTAGAAACCAGGAAACTTCCTGAAATACGTCTTTTCAAACCGCTCCTGGTTTTTGTGCAGAGTTCGCATTATTCCAGGCCACGGCCTCCGGAAAACCTGCACCACAAGAAAAAGAGGAACTGTCTTTATGGTTTCCAGGTACAGCACGTGACACAGACGCACATCCTGTGACTCTACAAGCTTTGCACATCTAGAGACTGAAAGTTTTACCACTTACAACTCAAGCTCAGTCATATTCATAAACTCAATATGGCCGACGACAACTGCTTCAGGATTTTAGAGATTTTTTTTAGTTTTGTTTATCTGTCGCCTCAATGAAACCAGCCTGACCTAAGTAAGTAATCTTTATTTATATACCGCCTTTCACAGACCAGAGTCACAAAGCAGTTTACAATTGTTATTTTTGGGCATTAGTCTCTCACGCCACACTGAGATGGGAGCGAGGCCAGTACAGGAGGCACATGCCAGAACTATTGTACATGTTTTTAGTGGTAGGGGAAACCAGAGTACCCGGAGGAAACCTACGTAGACACGGGGAGAACATGCAAACTCCACTCAGAAAGGCCCTGGTCCGACCGGGAATCAAACCCAGGACTTTCTAGCTGAGAGGCGAGAGTGCTATCCACTCAGCCACCGTGCCGCCCAAGACCTGTGGAGACGCTGGTACCAGTCTGACCTGTGGAGTACCAGTCTGACCTGTGTAGACGCTGGTACCAGTCTGACCTGTGGAGACGCTGGTACCAGTCTGACCTGTGTAGACGCTGGTACCAGTCTGACCTGTGGAGACGCTGGTACCAGTCTGACCTGTGTAGACGCTGGTACCAGTCTGACCTGTGTAGACGCTGGTACCAGTCTGACCAGTCTGACCTGTGTAGACGCTGGTACCAGTCTGTCCTGTGGAGACGCTGGTACCAGTCTGACCTGTGGAGTACCAGTCTGACCTGTGTAGACGCTGGTACCAGTCTGACCTGTGTAGACGCTGGTACCAGTCTGACCTGTGTAGACGCTGGTACCAGTCTGACCTGTGTAGACGCTGGTACCAGTCTGACCAGTCTGACCTGTGTAGACGCTGGTACCAGTCTGACCTGTGTAGACGCTGGTACCAGTCTGACCTGTGTAGACGCTGGTACCAGTCTGTCCTGTGGAGACGCTGGTACCAGTCTGTCCTGTGGAGACGCTGGTACCAGTCTGACCTGTGGAGACGCTGGTACCAGTCTGACCAGTCTGACCTGTGTAGACGCTGGTACCAGTCTGACCTGTGGAGACGCTGGTACCAGTCGGACATGTGGAGACGCTGGTACCAGTCTGACCTGTGGAGACGCTGGTACCAGTCTGACCTGTGGAGACGCTGGTACCAGTCTGACCTGTGGACACGCTGGTACCAGTCTGACCTGTGGACACACTGGTACCAGTCTGACCTGTGGAGACACTGGTACCAGCTTTTTTCTCTTCGCAGTGAGGCTTTTTGATGTAATGTTGTTTTGTGTTATTTCCCTTCGCGTGTAGTGAGTCCGAGCTGAGTTATTGAAGTAAACGTTTTAAAAATATAATCCCGCAGAACCGGGAGGACCAGACGATGCCCAAATATAGGCGAGTTCTGCTAATCTTTCGGTCCCCGTGTAGGTCCCATGTGCTTCTGAGAATAAGCCATTCATTTGAATAAGGCGCCATCTTGGAACACCGGGGCTTGGTCAAAACAAAGTAACACTTCAGATTAGGGATGTAAATCGGCGACCGTTTAACCGGTGGTTGACCGTCACAGCGTTAACCGGTCAAAGCTGTCGGTTAAAAAAAGAGAAAAAGGGGAGAGGGGAGGTCTCTTAATAACGCTATTTTAAGCCCTATTTGCACGGTGTGACGAGCGGGTCTGTATCTAGCTGTGTGCGCCCATGTATTATAAACTCCGGGACGACTCTCACGCCGCACGAGCCACATATGCACACACGCGCACACACACACACACACACACACACACACACTTTCCCCCTCTCCATACGTAACATCCACACGCATCATCTCTCCCCTCTGTTACCGTCAAAGTTGCACACTGGCGCGGGTCAGAACTACATTGGAGCTTACATTTACACACACACACATATACATACACACACACATACACACATACATACACACACACATACACATACCGGTCTGTCGCGCTCCTCTGTGTCACGGAGCCCAAAGGATTCGCGCAAATACGCGGCTCCAGTCAAACCACATGGAACATGTTTGTGTTTATGGTCCTCGGGATCAGCTCCACACACATCACTTGTATTTAAACTTTTGTGAAGACCTGCGAGACGCGGCTCGTCACTCGCTGCTCTGACCATGTGAACGAGCCGTCGTTTGCTGCTAGAAAGTTTTGGTATTAACCCGCAGCACAGCAGAATGGGAAGATTAAAAAAGCAGTTCTCTGTGCGCAAAGGTGCCGGAGCTGTTGCGGGTTTGGGCGCCGCTGTCTCGGCTCTGATCCAGTAGAACGCAGAGCTGCACTTATGAAAAGTACGCGGCTCGAAATGGCTGTTATTTCAAAGAACGTGGACTATTTTAAACTACGCGGTTAACCGGTTTCAACCGGTTAATGAGGCTCGGTGGTCGGTCATGAAAATTCATAGTTTTTTACATCCCTACTTCAGATCCACAGTAGTATTCACCAGATATCCCTCAGCCTCGCCCTCCAGCTCCTCTCCGTGCTCGTTCAGAATGGTAGGCACCACTCCGAAGAAAGGAAACGTCTGAAAATGATAAAACAGTCAGAAGTCAGATGTCAGTGTCTCCAGATCCGGCTCTTTCTGCTGAAATTATTCCCATTGGAGACACCCCCCCAACATTTTTAATTCAAATGATCGATTTGTTTGATTTTACTTTGTTTTTGACAAATGACAGTATTAAAACTGAATAAATTAGTTACTTTTACTAAGTGCTAAAACTGTTTAAAAAAAAAACTCTGAATGCAGCAGTTTGTTGAAATGTTACCAAATGCTAACTGTTTGCAAGATGCAACATTATGTTGCTATGGTAACTAGCACTGGCTCGACTCTGGGAGGTAAAAGGTAGAACCATAAAGCTGTGTTCACACAAAATGCTTCAAAACGTCCGTCACGCACGTTGTTTGACGCTGATTTATTTTTGTCATTTTGGTGCTTGACGCTCATGACGCGCCTGACGCCCGTTGGGAGGAGCTTCTCTGTTTTGCCTTTAGTTGTTATATAAAGCCAGACATTGTCGTCGTAACTTCTACACAATTACTTTTACTTCACAGTATGTGTACATTGATTTTGTTACGTACTTATTAAGAACGTTTCTACTCAAATATACGTTTCTATACAAATAATATTGCTAATAATAACAATAATAACAGCAAAGCAGCAGCTACATGAATTCTTTCCATGACAGACCTGCTGCTGCCGCTGCTGCTGGTTCTCCTCCTCGTCTCCTGATTGGTTGATACCGGCGTGAAGCTCAAAAAGTTCCGCTTTTCTCAACTTCACCAAATGACGGCGTCAAAATCCCTTGACGCCGTCATTTGGTGCGCGTAGCGCTTGCCAAATGATGCTGGGCCTCTCGACGCCACCTGATTCATTTTTAATGCACACCTAATGCTTCTGAAGTTGAAGTTGGGTCCGGTGTGAACACAGCTTAAGAATAGTATGGTCTTTCCATACCATCATACTCATTTCATTTGGTTCTAAGGTCTGGATTTGGTCCATTAAGCTCCGTTGACAGGTGGCAGGGGTTAACTCTTTTTGCAGATTGAAACGATTGGATCTGAGTTTACCGTGACGTATTATGGTGGATAGATAACTATGGCCTACGCAGGTGGACAAACGCAAGACAAATTATCTGGCCCTCACAGTGACAAGGTCCCATTGTGTATCCATGTTTATGGATGTGTTTTCGATGTGTGACGGATCTGTGACGTAACAATGAGTTTATAAACCAAGTCCTGACTTTGATCTTTCTGAAAAAAACTGAAAGAACTGAAACCTGAAGGAATCTGAATAAACTTCCAGAAGCTCTAGTGCGCCATGATCGCGTCTCTGTGTGGTTCATCTTCCACAGTATGTAATGAGCCCGAGTGAGTGAGGCATTTTGCCTTTAGCCTAGCTTTAGCCATCTCCTTTGCCACTAACGGAGCCCGTGGGGAGTAGAGCCACAACATCTTTGCAGCAATGACATTTACTAAATCTTCCTCTTGCTCCGGCTTCAATTTCTTGATATTTGCATTCAACCAGAACAGATTATTTTACTATCACATTCTCCGCCTAACTACAACCAGTAAATTCGGCGCAAACTCTTGACGTCACCGACCCTGACCTACAACACCCGCCTCCCCCGCTCTCTGATTGGATTGAACCGAGGAAACTGCAGCCACTAGGATCAGACCCAGACGTACATGTAGGAAATGATCATGGACCGGAGTTTGCACATGGTAAGACCAGAGTAGTCCATAACAATGACATAGAAATAAACTACATATAGAGACAGAAAAAGTCACACGGTTAAGAAGACCACAAATGTCCATACACTCAGTAATGTCTAAAGGTTGTCATTTTGACTGCTTTGGGAGTCCTAGTGTTAGCTTGCATATTGCTTCCTGGTTCTAGTTTTACTATGAAGAGCTGACGGGAGACTCACAGCAGAGCCTGGTTTGAGAGGAGTCGCTGCAGGCAGTGGGGTGAGCACGTGACCTCCCTGTGGACGAAGGAAGACATCAGAAAGTGGAACCAGGACTGAGTGAATGTGTGAAAGTGCAATCCGTCATCGAGTTAGATGTTGGTGGATCAGGTCGAGATGCAGTCCTCTCTGCTCACAGGGGTCCACTTTATAGACTGAGAGATCACTGAGATAATTGATGCCAATAAAAAGATTTATTGACATCAAATAATCATGAACTCAGAATTTCACTCTGCACCAGAGCAGAGAAAATTGTCCGAACCAAGCAGACTCTGCGTACATGACCCAGAGGAAGCAGCTCATCGGCAGCGGTTTCACCACCTGCTGCGGGGACCTAAACTTCTGTTGCATTGTATTAGTATTGTTAGCTACTTTTAGAATTATTATTATTATTTATTTATTTTTTTGTCTGGATGGATGTGTTTCTGCTGCTTGTGGACACCTGAATCCATCCATCTTAGGACTCAGAGGCCAAGAACAGATAGAAAACAAACATTGAATAAGTGGATCTCTGAGTCATGGACGAGCTGAAGATACGGTTCTCTTTATGAGAGAAGAGAACACACTCACAGTCTCCGTCTGCCAGAAGGTGTCGACCACTGGACACTGGCCACGTCCCACCACAGAGTGGTACCAGAGCCAGGCCTCGGGGTTGATGGGCTCCCCCACAGAGCCCAGCACCCGCAGACTGGACACATCAAACCTGGAAACATCATTCATTTGAAAACCTGGAAACCTTCATTTTAAAGATTAGTTTAAAGATTAATTCCTCCTTCCAGTCACCTGGACGACATACAGACGCCATGTGACACATATGAAAAAAAGTCTAATAACCAAAGAATTTCATAGAAATTATTTATTGAAATAATGGCCACTACATTCAAGTCTATTCTGTACTTCTGTGTTTCTCCTATAGAGGTTTTGCACCACCATGTGACCTACATAGCAACCGTCACTAGGCCGCCATGTTAGATGGCAGGTATGAAACTTTATACAGTCAGATTCAACACAGTGGCCGAGAGCGCACCTTTACTTAGGCTGATGGGAAAGTTTTGCTGCGTCTTTAATTGTGGTAAACGCTCAGAGTGAGACAAAGATGTCTATTTTATTTAAATACCGGCCGTAATTTGCCATCAAGGAAAAGAAACTATTGAAAAAGCGACTGCAGCAATGGTTAGCAAGCTAGCATTTGTGACGATGCAGTTCAAAACGGGGAAATCAATAACGTGTTTGTCTGTTCTTGTCATTTTCACCTAAGTTAGTTGTTCTAATAAAAACATTGCGTTGGAGTAAAAGTCTGTCAGTGACGTGCGGTTGGTGACTGAGGCACTGACTTCATCACAATCAGATTTAACTACATATCAACAGGACATACAGAGGGTTATTCACACATGGTCCGCATTGTTTGCTCAAACAAAACGCCAAAGTAAAAAGCACATTTAAAAGTGTGTTATGGTCTTACCTTATATGAACTCCATTCACCACTTCATTCAGTTCAGACCAGTTTCATGTTTAAGTCCAGATCAAAGTTTAGTATAGATATGTAATCCTCCATTTATAATGTAGATTATGTAATCCTCCATTTGGAAATAAGATTCAAAAAGTAAAAAGAACAAATACGGGTGTTCCTCTTGTTTTGCTAGCTCCACGCTGCAGCCCCGACTTTCGGGTGCGTCCAATTTGTTAAATACACTTTCTTATCATTTTACTTCAAATTCCACTAGAAAGCCTCTTTGGAAGCTCTTCCTCTGCTGAGAGCAGCCACAGGTTTGGCTAACATACTTTACATGTAATACATGTTAAGATAAAAAAGATGTAAAAGCCACTTATACCAATCATATGGTTCCAATGAGATAGGAATGATAAGAAAAGGATAATAAAGTGGATTTACCAAATTAGACGCACCCGATTCGGACCCAGACTCGGGGCTGCAGCGTGGAGCTAGCAAAACAAGAGGAACACCCGTATTTGTTCTTTTTACTTTTTGAATCTTATTTCCAAATGGAGGATTACATAATCTACATTATAAATGGAGGATTACATATCTATACTAAACTTTGATCTGGACTTAAACATGAAACTGGTCTGAACTGAATGAAGTGGTGAATGGAGTTCATATAAGGTAAGACCATAACACACTTTTAAATGTGCTTTTTACTTTGGCGTTTTGTTTGAGCAAACAATGCGGACCATGTGTGAATAACCCTCTGTATGTCCTGTTGATATGTAGTTAAATCTGATTGTGATGAAGTCAGTGCCTCAGTCACCAACCGCACGTCACTGACAGACTTTTACTCCAACGCAATGTTTTTATTAGAACAACTAACTTAGGTGAAAATGACAAGAACAGACAAACACGTTATTGATTTCCCCGTTTTGAACTGCATCGTCACAAATGCTAGCTTGCTAACCATTGCTGCAGTCGCTTTTTCAATAGTTTCTTTTCCTTGATGGCAAATTACGGCCGGTATTTAAATAAAATAGACATCTTTGTCTCACTCTGAGCGTTTACCACAATTAAAGATGCAGCAAAACTTTCCCATCAGCCTAAGTAAAGGTGCGCTCTCGGCCACTGTGTTGAATCTGACTGTATAAAGTTTCATACCTGCCATCTAACATGGCGGCTTAGTGACGGTTGCTATGTAGGTCACATGGTTAGTGCCCAGAGTCAGAACTAAACATGGGGAGGCTGCTTTTCAGATTCATCCATCCATCCATCCATCCATCCATTTTCTGCCCTTTAATCCATTTCTGGGTCAGGGGGGTGGCAGTCAGAGATGCCACCCAAGTCTCATAGCACCAGCCCCTCACTGACCCTCTGCAGGTGGTGAGTCCACAGGAGGACGGCTGCTCTCTGAGTGTGAGCATAGCCTTGATCTTTCAGTGGGGGTTTTGGGCAAAGTGAGGGATTTTATATTTTTATCTTTCTTTTTAATGTTCTGTGATAATTTATGATTTTAATGCTTTCTTGTTTTGTTCAGCACTTTGAATTGCCTTGTGTATGAATTGTGCTATATAAATAAACTTGCCTTGCCTTGCCATGGTGGTGCAAAACCTCTATAGGACATTTACGTTCAGAAAAGTCTCTCTGTTTATATTAGAGTTCTAATCGCCATGGCGATAGTCTATCCACAAAAACAGAACATTATCAAGTTCTAGAACCCCTTTGGAATGCCAGTCCTTTAAATGGTTTCCATGGAAACCTTTGTGACATAATGTTCTATTGATGATATCACTCCCCAGTATAGTCTTGAGGGGACAGAGACGTGGGGCTTCACAGACCAAGGAAGGGCCAGGGACTCCATCAGACGGGCTTGGGTCTACAGACAGCCGTTTATTTTTACAGATTGATACATAGTGTAGAATATATTTCGCTGAGGTTCTAGATCTAGATACTCGAGTATGCTTCGCAGAAGCCAGCAGCTCATTGAGCAGGCCTACTACGGCCCGGACGGGAAGCCTGTGATCTCATATAAGGAAAACATCTGTCCTGTTTTCAAGAGAAGGAAACACAGACCTTCTTTTTTCTCTGGCGTCGTGAGCGCTCCTCCTGATCCTTTGGCACAAGAGCCAGAGACATCTGTCCATCGTGTTCTATCCGCTTCATCCGTGGCCGAGCAGCAGCAGCAGCCAACAATGTGGTCTCTGTTTATCCCCTGGCGCGTCGTGCTTCTCATGGTGCTTTGTTTGAGTTTGACCATGACGTGTCACAGATCCACGAAGTCCATGGCAAGTCCACAAACTGTAGAGGCTGATCTCCAGGCACAAGTCAGTCGTTTGAAACATCAGTTGGAAAACATAAAACGTTTATTTCTTCCTCCGGCAAATTCACTCAGAAACTTTGCGCTGGAAGGTTTGGGGGCGCACGTGGTTTTAAGCAGAACTTCGAGAAGCGAAACGTGTTGCTCAGAGTTTGAGAAGATGTACAGGTCTCCGAGCGGCGTCCTACGAGTGCAGCACTACCCTCTGACCCCAGGCCAGTGCTGGAGGATGGAGGGGTCGTCAATGCAGTTGTTCATCGCCATGGCAACACACATCCACATCTCACACGTCACGATCGGACACATCACCGCAGAACAGTCTCCCAACGGCAACATCTCCTCCGCACCAAAAGAGTTCAGCGTTTATGGACTGAAGCGGTTTAAGGGAGAAGAGACGCTGCTGGGGAAGTTTGAGTTCCAGGATAATGGAGAGTCCTTTCAGACCTTTGAGGTCCACGAACACACGGACACAGTTTTTAAGTTTGTTCGTCTTCAGGTGGAAAACAACCACGGCAGCGATTACACATGTCTTTACAACTTCAGGGTTCACGGAAATCTTCCAACCAACCCTCCTCCTCTTTTCTAAATGCCTTTAAGCCTGAAGGTCGTGGGTTTGAGCCCAACACGAGACCTTCTCCACTGATGCCTGCTGCGTTTTTAAATTGTGGAAAACGCTCAGGGTTGAACTAACATAATAGCTTTCACTAACGCTAAATGAACTGAGGAGCGACAGATATTTACTAACGGGACTTAGTACTAAAGCACCTACAGCTTCAGCACAGGCCGCGCTGTTTAGCTGAGAAGGAGAGGTTAAGTGGGAAAAACACTTGTTTTTCCATTAGGAGGAGCCATCGTAGATGGGGCGGGGCTGTAGCATCACACGGGTCAAGTGACTCGTGTGATGCTACAGCCCCGCCCTATTTAACCCTTCAGAATCTACACCATCACATGTGATACTAGGGTCCAAACCGGTCCAGAAAGGGCAGCTGTGGCTGCAGGTTTTCTATCAGACCCAGGAGGAGCAGAACAGAGTCCACACATTTCCTCAAATCTTCAGGTTAAGACTGAACTCACTTTAGGAAATGGGCGGAGTCTTCTCTGCTTCTATTGGTTCTGATAGAAAACCTGCAGCCACAGCTGCCCTTTCTGGACCGGTTTGGACTCCGGCTTCACATGTGATGCTGTTGACTCTGAGGGGGTGGCGCCTCATAATGGACAAAAACATTTGCTTGACGAAGGCCCACGGCCAAAACCTTCCATCTGTAATTAAAAAAACACGAGTTGTTTTTCTTCCTTTTCAGTGTTCCATACACTGCCATCTAACATGGCGGCGTAGCGACAATTGCTATGTAGGGCACGTGTAGGTTCATAACCTCTATTATTGTTGATTTCAGAAATCTGCAAAAAAAATAATCTAAATGTATTGATTTACATTTAATTTGATGTTTCCCCACATTTTTCTTGCGCCGCGACGCCGGTGAATACAGCGACCACCGCTCCTGACCTAAGCCCTAGCGGCATCGGGATGGGTCAAATGCAGAGGATGAATTGCCCTACGGGGATTAATAAAGTGTACCTTTTCCTTTGAACCAAGCTCTTAGATTAATTAATGACTCTTCTGGCCCCTGGAAAAGCCTGTTCCAGCTTCTTCCCTCTGGCAGAAGATATTGTTGGCTGAAATACAGTACAACTGGATATGCTAACATGCTAACAGCTTCTTTCCACAAGCTGTTATCAGTTTAAATGAATCACTTTAACTCATTGAATGCCAGCCTATTTCAGAACAGGTACTCCCACAGTGCCAGCCATTTCTGATGATTTTTACTGATTTTTCAAGACCCACAGAATATTGTGTACTATGACTATCTGAAATCCAACACCAGATTCTAAAAGAATGGACTGTCTACTTTCCTCAGCAAAAAGAATTTTGTTTATAGCTTTTTTCGTTCCCCTGTAATCCTCCGTCGAGTAGAGGGAAGTTTTACTGAAATCACCAGAAATCACCAGAAAGTTGAGAAAAAAGAGGCACATGTGCACCTACATGTTTTCAAACCATTCAGAGAGCAATGCTGCCACCTGCTGGCTCGATAAAATATGGTCTCAAGTCATCCCCATACATATTAGATACAATAGACATCTGGGAACGTGAAAATAGCGAAAAAGGCAGGCCATTGACGGATTAATCCGTCAATGGCACACGACGTTACTATTTGCTTTGACGTATTTGTGCGTCAATGGGACACAATGAGTTAATGATCTTGCACTTATCAAAACTGTTTTAGATCTGTGTCATGCACTTTTTTAGTTAGTACAATGTCTGTACTTTTAACCTTGTTTATTTCAGGGTTCGTACAGATTTCCTCTTAAGGTTTTCCATGACTTTTCCATGACTTTTCCATGACCCTTAACCAATTTTCCATGGCAAAAAATTACTCAGTCAATTTCAATTGTTACTTGCATTCATTTGTTGATTTTGTGCCTAAACACATTTTACAGATGTCTTACAAACATTTTATGGAAGACATTTTACAGATGTCTTCCATAAAATAAAATACTTTTAAAGGGAACATATTCTGCAAAAAAACAACAGAATTTTAAAGTACAACACTGTTAGAATAGTTTTTCATTCATGCAGTTTTGAGTTAAGGGTTATTTTGAGTCATAGGAAAATCACAGAACTGTCCACCACATTTTTCCTCTCAAAGTGTGTTAACCAGGGTGCAATTGAGTTGCAAAACAACTTTCAGTTGATCACTTTTTACTAAGTCATTCCTGCTGCTGCCTCTAGAGGGAGCTCTAGGTACGCTGGCCAGCTCAGGCCTCTATGTGTCAGATCACTATTTTATCATTAAATAAAAAATACTTAATAAAAGGTTGGGTAACCAAACATTGTTTTTATTTAGCCTAAATTCAGCATGCAAAGTCAACTTTTTATCAAAAATATTAACTGTTGTACCTTCAATACATTCAAGAACAAAAAGTAAACCATGCAATTACTTCCAACAATAAAATACACTCAAAATGGTAGCAATGTATGTACTGCTACATTTCTGCATTGCATTACAGACTAACTGAAGAAAGTAGTGTCTCAGTACAGGTAAATATTGTAATAAAACAGCTTCAGTGCTTTAACTTAAGTTCGAGTAAAAATAAAGTGTCTCTCACTACAGACTAAGAAGGCTTCCCCTGTTCATACTGAAATATAAAATAGCTGCAGTACTTTAACTGGAGTTCAAGTAAAAAATAAAGTGTCCCAGTACAGACTGAGTAGGCCTATATTGCCATGTTAATGGTTAAATGTAAATAAAATAAAAAAAGTTCAAGTAACAATAAAGTGTCCCAGTATTGCAGGCCAAGGTTTGCAGTTAATTCTTCAAGACACATAAATAGCCAGCTCCAGTGCATTTAGTTCAAGTAATAATACAAAATAAACATATAAAAAAAGCCTAGTTAGTACATTTTAAAGTATCAGTGTGATATAGTGAGTAAGCAGGCCTATATTCTGTAAAGGTCTTAGGCCATTTATAGTTTGTAGCTCATTCTTTGGTTTTCATCTCAAGAAGCTTGTCGTCCATTTGCTTATCGAGATCCTGTAGAGAGATTATCTTTTCCTTAGCCGTGCGGCGCAGACTGTTTGACTTTGTTATGAAGGTTATGTTGCCAGTGTTTTCTGCTTTGTTCGCGTAGTCGTCTGCTGCCTTCTCCAATGCAGAAACATCCTGATGTATTCTGGCTTTCTTCCTTTTTAGTTCATCTGTAAGTGCCTTTCTCTTTTCCACAGACCTTTGCTTCTCATTTGCCCTCCTCATATCATCCAAGTAGCTTTTGTATCGCTGTTGGCACATGAAACTGACATGAAGAGTTCCTTGGTGAGAGGTACATTTGTCACATCACCAACAGCCCTAATGTGTCCCACGATGAGCCTCTGAGCAATGAGTGACTGTTCCTTTTGATTTTCCACAATTATCTCTTTGTTTATGCAAAACCCTCTCTCTACACTTGCTTGCCAATACAAATAGCCAATACAAACATAAGAGCGAGTGCTCAACGTCCCATCCCGCTGCGCTGGACCCCGCTCTGAAAGCGTTGTGTAGTACGTGCAGACCACAAGAGCCAATGTTTAACAGCGACTTGTCCACCTGTTTTTGCATCTCTTTTTGAATCATGTCATATGCTTTCCAGTTCACGTACGGTCCGTCCATTGACAGCTGGATGAGGTTTTTAATTCCCATCTCGGACAACGTGTTGCACATCTTTTCCACAATATCAGCCGCTGTAGAATGTCCAAGAAACTGGGAACCGATATATTTGCTTTTGACTTCTCCACCTTCCCACACGCGTACGTGAATGTCCAATTGCTTTGACTGTAAGCTATGGTTCAAAGACTCGTCAAATAGCACGACGTATGCGGTTTGTTGTGACACTTCTTTCAATAAAAGTCTTTTGATATACGGCGCAAGCCCAAATGTGGCGATGTATGCACACTTCTCACCGCATGTGAATCTTGTGGCAATTTGGCTGTCTGGGAACATAGCTGCAAACAGACGACTCGTGCCCTCTGACGATTTGTAGGAGTAATGCGAATTCATTACTTTTAATACCCATAGTATCTCGGCTTTCAGTACCTCATTTTTAGAGGAAAAGTCCAACGTTCCTTGAGTTGTTGTCGGTGCTCTTGGCGTGGGGGTTTTCTGTACACTAGCGCCTATGAACTGGCTGATGGGAATCGCCGCGGCATTTGCCCTCATGGCTAACTCATGTTTTTTCCCTTTCATATGGCTCGCCAGAGCAGACTCCCCCATATTCGAAATGTCAAACGTTTTACTGCATAGCTTACACTTGGCGTGACTTGAGTCGGAGTCTTTTTGAAGCCAGCTCTGATATTTTTCCACAAATAGCCACGCATTGTTGAATCTGCATTTTCCTGGCATGATGGTTTTGCTGAGTCGCTGTAGCACGGAAAACACGTAGCTGGCCTCGAGTCAAGCGGGGGGCGTGTCGCTAATGGCTGCAAGCAACCTGTCTGCCCGAATACAATGTGCGCGCTGGAGTGCTTTATGATTGTTTTTTATTTATTCTGTGAGATTTCATAACACTTTGAAGCAACTTTTGTTAAAGTTAAACTCATCTTTCTATCAATGTGCAGAAGCCAGTACTTTTCCCTTGTTTTGTCTATCTGAAGGCCAAGCTACATGGCACCGTGGCAGCTGCTGATTGGAGGTCTCCATGCCTCCGCTCTGTATAATACACTTGCATTCTGTTGTTCGTGTTGTTCGTGTTCGTGCTGTCTCTACCATCGACAATAAAACATGTCTTCTGTCTGAATTAAAGACGCGATCCCAGACTTTGTCATCTTCTTCAGGTGGTGGAGGATGCGGGCCTTGTCTGTAACATCTAGAGAACAGAAGACTCTTTTTTTTTACACAAAAAGTGTTTTTTTTAAGCCAAAACTGAGAAACCTCAAGAGAATGCATCTGGATCAGCCCATGGACAATCTGCACAGCCCCTGATTCCAGTCAGGCTATGAGCTGCTGAGACATGGACAACACCATCGTCCTCTTTTGCATGGACATAATTTGGAACAATTGGATTTCTGAATTTGGACATAATTTGGACTGAATTGAATTGCTGAATCTGGACACTGAAGCTGAAACGTGTGATTGAAAGACACGTCACAGAAGAATTCATGGCTCAACACAACAAATGCAGCCTGAAGAAACCAACACGGAGAAGTGGGAGAGACTGTTTTCAAAGCAATATCTGGAACCACCATCGACTGATGAAGTTTGGTATTTTACTGAAGATTTATATAGCCTTAAATTTTTTAAACATACATTTTGTAAAATTTCCAAACTTTTCCAGGACCTACAAAATTCCAAAACTTTTCCAGGGCCTGGAAATTAGATTTTAAAATTCCATGACTTTTCCAGGTTTTCCATGACTGTACGAACCCTGTTATTTACGTACTTGTCTGTTGCACACCGGGGACTTAAGCAAATGTATTCCTATGTGGTTTTACTGCAAATGGCAAATAAAAGAATCTGAATCCGAGTTCTCTGAGTCTGAGTTTCAAATGAACCTAGTCTTATTCCGTCTTTCAGGAAGTTTGAAACAGTTTGAACACATTCATGGTTTTGTGGAGCAGCGCTCTTACTTCTGCAGTGGCTCTCGTCCGTACTTCATCAACAGGCGGATGGCAGTGGGAGCCGTGTAAAACTTGGTCACTTTATATTTTTGGATGATCTCCCAAAATCGTCCGACGTGAGGATGAGTCGGGATGCCTTCAAACTGAAAGACAAGGAACGATTCGAGAAAGAAGAAATGAAATCGAAAGTAAATAACCAGAGCAACGACCACAAAGATTTGATGTTGTATCTTTTACTGAACGGAGTTAGCCTGGTCTTACCATACCATTGTACTCATTTCATTTGCTCCATTGAGCTCCGTTAACCCCTCCCACGTGTTTACTCCTTTAGCAGATTGAAACGATTGGATCTGAGTTTACCGTGACGTATGAGTCGGTAACATTTAGCATTTCGTCTAGCTGTTTTATTTAGCCATCTCCTTTGCCACTAACGGAGCCCGTGGGAAGTTGAGCCACAACATCTTTTCCAGCAATTAAATTAGCTAAACATTCCTCTTGCTCCGTCTTTAATTTCTTGATATTTGGATTGAATCAGAACAGATTATTTTACGATAGCGTTCTCCACCATTGCCAAACTTGCCCTAACCCAAAAGAAATACATAGTTACAATTACGTCTAATGACTATGATCTAATTACATTGTCAACCAACTGATATTTTACATATTTAACAAACTTTACACACACTGACACACAATGACACACACTGACACGCAATTACACACACTAACACGCAATGACACACACTGACACGCAATGACACACACTAACACGCAATGACACACGCTGACACACAATGACACACACTGACACACACTGACACGCAATGACACACAATGACACACAATGACACACAATGACACACACTGACACACAGTGACACGCACTGACACACACTGACACACACTGACACACACTGACACACACTGACACACAGTGACACGCACTGACACACACTGACACACAATGACACACACTGACACGCAATGACACACACTGACACACAGTGACACACGCTGACACGCACTGACACTAACCTTGCCTGCAAGCTGAATTCTCGCGGTATTTGTGAGTTCACAAACACTCGAGAATACATCTTGTACCGCTCCCGCTTACACTTTTCGAGTCGAACCACTGGGTGTGCGAGCCAATCACGCGCCAGTCTGGGGGTTTAGGGCGGGATATCCGGGTTTGACGAAAGCAAGAAGTGCCGGGCCGAAGCAAAACAAACATGGCTACGCAGGAGGACGGACGCGTAGCTGAGGCTATCAAGTCAGTTTTAGCAGAATCTCCAATTTCTTTTTCGAAAGATGAACAGCGAGAGGCGCTTTGTGCATTTCTGGACGGCAACCTTGGTAGGCGGGCACACAGCGTCACTTCGCCCAATCAGCTTGAAGTATTCTGCTGCTTATCCCTCCTTTCCCCGAAAGGATTCTCCGGGAGAAATCCCAGATTGATATCGTGGAGAACGCGTTAGAGTTCTACACAATCATCAATCTGGCTCTTGCCAGGTTACACTGACACACACTGACACGCAATGACACACTCTGACACGCACTGACACACACTGACACACACTGACACACACTGACACGCGCTGACACACGCTGACACGCAATGACACACACTGAAACACTCTGACACACACAGACACACACAGACACACAATGACACACACAGACACACACAGACACACAATGACACACAATGACACACAATGATTTATAGAATCCACAGGTACAGATAATAATCCCTCACTAGTACACTCGTGGCGCCGTTGGCCAGAGGCCCGTAGGTGATGTAGGAGTGGCCGGTGATCCAGCCGATGTCCGCCGTGCACCAAAACACGTCGTCATGGTGATGGTCAAAAACATATTTGAACGTCAGGTACGTGTACAAGAGGTAACCAGCCACGGTGTGAAGAACGCCCTGAGAGGGTGAGGGGAAGGGAGGGGGAGAGAGGGAAGAGAGGGGGAGAGAGGGGAAGGGAGGGGGAGAGAGAGGGAAGGGAGGGGGAGAGAGAGTGGAGGGGGAGAGAGGGAAGAGAGGGGGAGAGAGAGTGGAGGGGGAGAGAGGGAAGGGAGGGGGAGAGAGGGAAGAGAGGGGGAGAGAGAGTGGAGGGGGAGAGAGGGAAGAGAGGGGGAGAGAGGGAAGAGAGGGGGAGAGGGGAAGGGAGGGGGAGAGAGGGAAGGGAGGGGGAGAGGGGAGGGAGGGGGAGAGAGGGAAGAGAGGGGGAGAGAGAGTGGAGGGGGAGAGAGGGAAGAGAGGGGGAGAGAAGGAAGAGAGGGGGAGAGGGGAAGGGAGGGGGAGAGGGGAAGGGAGGGGGAAAGAGAGAAGGGGAGATTACATTTTTTATATTATAATGTTGTTTTACGCATTTTAAAATGTTCAAGATAATGGTTCATGGGTGTCAAAGACCGTTTCCACCGGCTCGGCTCGGCTCGACATCCCGGTTTGCTGGATGAGGGCAACACCTTCCTGAGCTTGAGGAGAGAGCACACTCCAGCGTGAGCTCAATGGTGCCACTGAAACCAGGACTACCCTGCCCAACCCGCCTGGGAGCGCTTCAGAACCTGTCCACGTTCTGCTGCCGCTGCGTGGCCCTGGTCCTTGTTCTGTAGCTCAGGTCCTGAATCTCCCTGAGCTTTCTCACTTTTCTCCCACTGGGTTTTAGAGTTTTTCCTCTGATGCAGGAGTCTGTTGGACAGTTAGTGTCTAAGAAGAAGGATGTGGTGATCCAGGACACTTTAACATTCTACATGTATGACATTTATCAACATTCATGGACCTTGGTCTCTCCCTATGGTCCAATACATATGTGTCCTATATTTTTGTGTCTTAACTGTTGATTCTCTGATCTGTGTTGGCAATTTCAATGTTTTGTTAAGTCGTCTGAGATGACTGCTGTTGGGATTTAGGGCTATACAAGTATGCATTGTATTGTATTGTATTGAAAGGTGTTTGCGGCGGTACCTTAGTGCTATGGATAAACAGACATCACAGAGCGGAGAAAAAGTTAAGAAGCTCAACAATGACTATCGTAAAATTAAATATCACAACAGCAAAAGTGGGTTGAACTGAAAAGCTTGGCGGGGGTTTGACCAAATGGATGCACTTTACGGTCATCAGTTAACACGGGAGAGAAGCCTCGGCTCTAGTCCCAGATCCAGATGTTGAGTTTGAGAGGAATGGTGAGTGTTTGTCTTCAGTCAAATGTAAAAGTATCCGGTCTGTTACTGAACGTGTGACTGTGTGTCGTTTCGGAAGTCTATAAACAGCCCCCCCATGTTAATAATTAACGCGGCGGCGAAGGAAACGCTCTCAAACCGAGACGTGTTGAGTTGAGTAGAGCCAGTGGAAACGGCGCTATAGATCCCCCAATGAGGCAGATTGAGGCACCTTGGGTTTCCCTGTGGAGCCGCTGGTGTACAGGATAAACAGAGGGTCTTCAGAGTCCATCCAGGTGGGCTCGCACTGGTCCGCACTATCCTTCATGGCCTCGTCCCAGCTCACGTCACACGAGGAGTCCCAGGCCGTCTGACCCACAACAGAATCACCACAAATAACTTTTGAAATACATTTGGGTTAGTAAGAAGCAGACACAGGCATGAAGACTCTCTGACCCAACACCTCTCTCACATCACTCACTCTGTATTGAGGGCATGAGTTTAAGTCGATCCTGAAGTAAGATCCCCAAGTAGAACTTTCAGTTAGATAAATGAAGGATCTCTTAAACCTTTACTTACAGTATGTCAATATCAAGAGATTTCCATTTTATATGGAACAAAATTGCACTCTATCACAAGTGAGATCTACAGTCTCAGTTCTGGATCTACAGCCTCAGTCCTGGGTCTACAGCCTCAGTCCTGGGTCTACAGTCTCAGTCCTGGGTCTACAGCTTCAGTCCTGGATCTACAGCCTCAGTCCTGGGTCTACAGCCTCAGTCCTGGGTCTACAGCTTCAGTCCTGGGTCTACAGCCTCAGTCCTGGGTCTACAGCTTCAGTCCTGGGTCTACAGCCTCAGTCCTGGGTCTACAGCCTCAGTCCTGGGTCTACAGCCTCAGTCCTGGGTCTACAGCCTCAGTCCTGGGTCCTGGGTCAATGTGTTTGTTATTATTGCATTTCCTGTGTTCTGACTGTTTGATTCTCTGATGTGTTGTTGGCAAATCAACAACTTTGTAAAGTCCTCCGAGAAGACTGCTGTTGTGTTTTGGAGCCATAGAGAATTAATTTGAATTGAATATACTCTAAAGCAGATATTATCATCCACTTTTCAGTCTTATTGAAATATTAGCTAAAACCATGTGACAAAAATGTCTATTAATTGAAGCCTTAAAAATATAAAAACCCATTTTAAAAGTGAAAGTAATCAGACCTGTAGCTTGTTGCAGGCCGCTCCGTCCTTGGTCCTCAGAGCTGGATGTTTGACCACGAGGCACTTGGTCACAGTGGAACTCCCTCTGACACAAACACACAGTTTTAGTCCAACTGCAGCAGAGGAAATGTTTACTTCAATAAATGGATCCCAGAGAAAGTGAAGAATGCAAGAAAATATGAAGAACAACCAATATAGTTTAGTTCCTAGGAGGGAGGAGAAAGTGCAAGAAGTTGCTTGGGAGGAGGAGGGGTGGCATAGACACACACAACCACACCTACACACACACACAAACAGATCACACACACACACACACACAACCACACAAACACACAAACAGACACACACAAACAGACACACTCTTACCTCTCCTTGCATTTCTCCAAAGCCTCGTCCACAATCTGCTTCAGGTTGATCAGTTTTTCTCCGCGATACACGCCGTCTGAAATGACAAAGTATTTGGGATATTTGAGTATGAGTATCGTACATTTCAGACTACAAACCGTCGCTTTTTTCCCTCACTTTGACTGCTGCGGCCTATAGTCAGGTGCAGCTTATTTTAACTTTTATTTTCTGCGTTGCGAAAAACGTTTTGCAGAGTAACAATAGAAAAACAAAATTGATGAGTAGCTCACAGAGGTCAAATTAAATTGTTCTTTGTACTCCTCCTTGTCAACATGTAAAATACTAAAGTGATAATTATCATCCTTTGATAATCAGTGCATAACTAATACAAACGTACGGTTTATTCAAAGGTCACAGTGAGAAAAAGAACATGTTTAATAAGTATTTGTTTGTCATATAGCAGATTAAATGCAGTTTAAAAATCCTCACTTAAATTGTTTCTTGGTTCTTTGTATAGACATGAAAGTAAAGAGTTATGGTGGATGTTGCTCCTTATAATGTCCTCGGCCCAAGCTACTGTCTTTGCAAGACTAAACAGACTTTGTTCTTGTTTCTTATTTGTTGAAGAATGGCTTCAACCATCGTCCTCTAAGACGTTTTTATAATAGATCCATGTCTTAGACCAACCGTACAACTGGAATACAAAACATGTCGTGTTAGATATAACTTTCAATGGGCAGAATACTGCTTATTTTTCTGCTTCACACTGAAGATTAAGAACAGACGCTGACTCACTTCATGTTCTGAGCTAAGTTTTGTAATATTACAACGTGGGACAGGTGCAGTTTATAATCCAGTGCAGCTCGTACAAGAACAAAATTCATTTTATAGTTCGGAAAATACCGTATGTCACAGTTTTTCCCCCGTTAAAGAACACCTACTATGCAAAAGTTATTAGCCATATCACAGCAATATCACACTCATCCAACCACTGCCTCTAAATAAGTTTTGGGAATTTCTCCAGAACAAATGTGAAACCTGATTTACTACTGTCTAATTTTAAATATAAAATATACAGATAAACCATGAGATGTGCTTATGTGGACTGACTGAGTGTGACATCACCAAAGCGTTAGCCTTAATACAGAAGAGGCCAAAAATAAGCTGGCTGGAGCCAATTTTCTCATATGTGCATTAGCTCTGACAGTGTAGTCTGACGCTTTACAAACACTTTCTGATTTTCTCGCTCAAATACGATAACAAAGAATGAAAGTGTTATGACAATAAAGTGTTAGAATCCATGTACCCGACCTGCTGTGATCAGGACTGAGCTCTGGGCATCGATGATCCGCTCACACAGAGACTCAGAGGAGAAACCGGCAAACTGAAACACACACAGATACACAAACATGAAATCACACACACACACACACGTTGTTGGTGAAACGACTATGTTATAAAGTCCTTCGTACGGGGTGTGTTTGAGCCTGAGACCATTGCTCTGTTTCTTGTGTTGTATGGGGATCTTAAAGCTGGGGAACCTACGTTTTTCTCACAGAAAGACTATTGTAAAAGTACACACACAGACACACACACACACACAAGTGTACACACAAACACATACACTAGACATGTACATATGAATGCAGACACACACACACACACACAAGTAGAAATCTGTGACCAAATGAAACCACAACAGGCATGTTGTACTTTTCACCCTTTTTCACGATCCCTGTGAGTTACTGTTTTACTGTTTGGGCTGAGAGCTGATTGGCTGAGAGCTGATTGGCTGAGAGAGGGTGGTCCTCTGTTTTTCACTTTTCTGTCTGAAAAAGCAGATCTGAAACAATGTCACATGTAGTTTCTTGGGAGCATTGATGTTACAGTAAAGTCAGGTGCCTCAGCTTTATGCTTGTTCTCCTCGTGCTTCTCACCACCACAGAATGAACGGCTCCGATCCTTGCACACGACAACATGGAACACACCAACTCTGGAACCATGGGGAGGTAGATGGACACACGGTCTCCCTTCTTCACTCCTGCAACACACACACATACATACACACAGACAGACAGACACACACACACACACACATACAGACAGAGAGACACACACACATGCATACAGACAGAGACACACACACACACATGCATACAGACAGAGACACACACACACATCAACAGAGGCTATTTTAAGAGGTGACGAGATACAACACAATTTATAACACACCATAAATTGTTTTCTGGGAAGAGCTCTGAGCTACACAACAGTTTGAACACGGCGTTTTTAGGGCGGTGGGGGGGGGGGGGGGTTAACTCTGGTGCATCACGAGCTGGAGCTGGCCCTCGGACCTCAGCGCGGGGGGCGGGTGGTAAATTTGCATGAGGTCCTAGATGTAAGGAGGGGCCGGTCTGTTCAAAGCTTTAAAAACAAACAATAATATCTTATAATACATTCTAAAATAAACCAGTGCAACGGCGCCTGAATTGGGGTGATGTCATCGCGGCTTCTGGTTCCTGTCAAAGGTCGTGCCGCTGTAAGACTTAAACAACTAGTGAGAGATGTGTGTGTTGTCGTGACTCATGACGTCATAGATGTGTGTGTTGTCGTGACTCATGACGTCATAGATGTGTGTGTTGTTGTTCCTCATGACGTCATAGATGTGTTTGTTGTTGTTTCTCATGACATGATAGATGTGTGTGTTGTCGTGACTCATGACGTGATAGATGTGTGTGTTGTCGTGACTCATGACGTGATAGATGTGTGTGTTGTCGTGACTCATGACGTCATAGGTGTGTGTGTTGTCGTGACTCATGACGTGATAGATGTGTGTGTTGTCGTGACTCATGACGTCATAGATGTGTGTGCTGTCGTGACTCATGACGTGATAGATGTGTGTGTTGTCGTGACTCATGACGTCATAGGTGTGTGTGTTGTCGTGACTCATGACGTGATAGATGTGTGTGTTGTCGTGACTCATGACGTGATAGATGTGTGTGTTGTCGTGACTCATGACGTGATAGATGTGTGTGTTGTCGTGACTCATGACTGATAGATGTGTGTGTTGTTGTTTCTCATGACATGATAGATGTGTGTGTTGTCGTGACTCATGACGTGATAGATGTGTGTGTTGTCGTGACTCATGACGTGATAGATGTGTGTGTTGTCGTGACTCATGACGTGATAGATGTGTGTGTTGTCGTGACTCATGACGTGATAGATGTGTGTGTTGTCGTGACTCATGACGTGATAGATGTGTGTGTTGTCGTGACTCATGACGTGATAGATGTGTGTGTTGTCGTGACTCATGACGTGATAGATGTGTGTGTTGTTGTGACTCATGACGTCATAGATGTGTGTGTTGTTGTTCCTCATGACGTCATAGATGTGTGTGTTGTTGTTTCTCATGACATGATAGATGTGTGTGTTGTCGTGACTCATGACGTGATAGATGTGTGTGTTGTCGTGACTCATGACGTGATAGATGTGTGTGTTGTCGTGACTCATGACGTGATAGATGTGTGTGTTGTCGTGACTCATGACGTGAGAGATGTGTGTGTTGTTGTTCCTCATGACGTGGGAGATGTGTGTGTTGTTGTTCCTCATGACGTGAGAGATGTGTGTGTTGTTGTTTCTCATGACATGATAGATGTGTGTGTTGTCGTGACTCATGACGTGATAGATGTGTGTGTTGTTGTTTCTCATGACATGATAGATGTGTGTGTTGTCGTGACTCATGACGTGATAGATGTGTGTGTTGTCGTGACTCATGACGTGATAGATGTGTGTGTTGTCGTGACTCATGACATGAGAGATGTGTGTGTTGTTCCTCATGACGTGAGAGATGTGTGTGTTGTCGTGACTCATGACGTGATAGATGTGTGTGTTGTCGTGACTCATGACGTGATAGATGTGTGTGTTGTCGTGACTCATGACGTGATAGATGTGTGTGTTGTCGTGACTCATGACGTGAGAGATGTGTGTGTTGTTGTTCCTCATGACGTGAGAGATGTGTGTGTTGTTGTTCCTCATGACGTGAGAGATGTGTGTGTTGTTGTTTCTCATGACATGATAGATGTGTGTGTTGTCGTGACTCATGACGTGATAGATGTGTGTGTTGTCGTGACTCATGACGTGATAGATGTGTGTGTTGTCGTGACTCATGACATGAGAGATGTGTGTGTTGTTGTTCCTCATGACGTGAGAGATGTGTGTGTTGTCGTGACTCATGACGTGATAGATGTGTGTGTTGTCGTGACTCATGACGTGATAGATGTGTGTGTTGTCGTGACTCATGACGTGATAGATGTGTGTGTTGTCGTGACTCATGACGTGAGAGATGTGTGTGTTGTTGTTTCTCATGACGTGATAGATGTGTGTGTTGTCGTGACTCATGACGTGATAGATGTGTGTGTTGTCGTGACTCATGACGTGAGAGATGTGTGTGTTGTTGTTCCTCATGACGTGAGAGATGTGTGTGTTGTTGTTCCTCATGACGTGAGAGATGTGTGTGTTGTTGTTCCTCATGACGTGATAGATGTGTGTGTTGTTGTTTCTCATGACATGATAAATGTGTGTGTTGTCGTGACTCATGACGTGATAGATGTGTGTGTTGTCGTGACTCATGACGTGATAGATGTGTGTGTTGTCGTGACTCATGACGTGATAGATGTGTGTGTTGTCGTGACTCATGACGTGATAGATGTGTGTGTTGTCGTGACTCATGACGTGAGAGATGTGTGTGTTGTTGTTCCTCATGACGTGGGAGATGTGTGTGTTGTTGTTCCTCATGACGTGAGAGATGTGTGTGTTGTTGTTTCTCATGACATGATAGATGTGTGTGTTGTCGTGACTCATGACGTGATAGATGTGTGTGTTGTTGTTTCTCATGACATGATAGATGTGTGTGTTGTCGTGACTCATGACGTGATAGATGTGTGTGTTGTCGTGACTCATGACGTGATAGATGTGTGTGTTGTCGTGACTCATGACATGAGAGATGTGTGTGTTGTTCCTCATGACGTGAGAGATGTGTGTGTTGTCGTGACTCATGACGTGATAGATGTGTGTGTTGTCGTGACTCATGACGTGATAGATGTGTGTGTTGTCGTGACTCATGACGTGATAGATGTGTGTGTTGTCGTGACTCATGACGTGAGAGATGTGTGTGTTGTTGTTCCTCATGACGTGAGAGATGTGTGTGTTGTTGTTCCTCATGACGTGAGAGATGTGTGTGTTGTTGTTTTCTCATGACATGATAGATGTGTGTGTTGTCGTGACTCATGACGTGATAGATGTGTGTGTTGTCGTGACTCATGACGTGATAGATGTGTGTGTTGTCGTGACTCATGACATGAGAGATGTGTGTGTTGTTGTTCCTCATGACGTGAGAGATGTGTGTGTTGTCGTGACTCATGACGTGATAGATGTGTGTGTTGTCGTGACTCATGACGTGATAGATGTGTGTGTTGTCGTGACTCATGACGTGATAGATGTGTGTGTTGTCGTGACTCATGACGTGAGAGATGTGTGTGTTGTTGTTTCTCATGACGTGATAGATGTGTGTGTTGTCGTGACTCATGACGTGATAGATGTGTGTGTTGTCGTGACTCATGACGTGAGAGATGTGTGTGTTGTTGTTCCTCATGACGTGAGAGATGTGTGTGTTGTTGTTCCTCATGACGTGAGAGATGTGTGTGTTGTTGTTCCTCATGACGTGATAGATGTGTGTGTTGTTGTTTCTCATGACATGATAAATGTGTGTGTTGTCGTGACTCATGACGTGATAGATGTGTGTGTTGTCGTGACTCATGACGTGATAGATGTGTGTGTTGTCGTGACTCATGACGTGATAGATGTGTGTGTTGTCGTGACTCATGACGTGATAGATGTGTGTGTTGTCGTGACTCATGACGTGATAGATGTGTGTGTTGTCGTGACTCATGACGTGAGAGATGTGTGTGTTGTTGTTCCTCATGACGTGAGAGATGTGTGTGTTGTTGTTCCTCATGACGTGAGAGATGTGTGTGTTGTTGTTTCTCATGACATGATAGATGTGTGTGTTGTCGTGACTCATGACGTGATAGATGTGTGTGTTGTTGTTTCTCATGACATGATAGATGTGTGTGTTGTCGTGACTCATGACGTGATAGATGTGTGTGTTGTCGTGACTCATGACGTGATAGATGTGTGTGTTGTCGTGACTCATGACGTGATAGATGTGTGTGTTGTCGTGACTCATGACGTGAGAGATGTGTGTGTTGTTGTTCCTCATGACGTGAGAGATGTGTGTGTTGTTGTTCCTCATGACGTGAGAGATGTGTGTGTTGTCGTGACTCATGACGTGATAGATGTGTGTGTTGTCGTGACTCATGACGTGATAGATGTGTGTGTTGTCGTGACTCATGACGTGATAGATGTGTGTGTTGTCGTGACTCATGACGTGAGAGATGTGTGTGTTGTTGTTCCTCATGACGTGAGAGATGTGTGTGTTGTTGTTCCTCATGACGTGAGAGATGTGTGTGTTGTTGTTTCTCATGACATGATAGATGTGTGTGTTGTCGTGACTCATGACGTGATAGATGTGTGTGTTGTCGTGACTCATGACGTGATAGATGTGTGTGTTGTCGTGACTCATGACGTGATAGATGTGTGTGTTGTCGTGACTCATGACGTGATAGATGTGTGTGTTGTCGTGACTCATGACGTGATAGATGTGTGTGTTGTTGTTCCTCATGACGTCATAGATGTGTGTGTTGTTGTTTCTCATGACGTGATAGATGTGTGTGTTGTTGTTTCTCATGACGTGATAGATGTGTGTGTTGTTGTTTCTCATGACGTCATAGGGTGTATTCAGACCTGCACATTTGCTCCACTTTAAACGGACCAGGATTCGTTTGGAACTCTGATCCGAATCTTTTATGCAGGTCTGAATACACACAAACGAATCCTGGTCCGGACCAAAGAACCGAACCGAGACCCACTTTTTGAGGTGGTCTCGGTCCGCTTCCAAACGAATTCTGGTCCAAGTCGAATCAGGTCTGAATACATCCGGTGTCGATCCGACACAACTCCAAGATACGTGCGCATTTTTTGGGCTTAACAAGCCGCAGACAGAAACTGAGGAATTAGCCACGCAGCGGCTAACTATGATGCTAACTATGATGCGAACGCTACACAACAACAATGAGCCGTGTGCAGACCTGGAGCAGTGAGGAGACGCTGTGCAACAGGCTTATGGAGTTAGAACTGCTCACAGTATACAGTGATGTTAATGGCAGCATCTTCAAACCATTTGCATTATTAAAAGCCTGACACTGTTTGACTCACGTCTCAAAGAGCAATACGCATCATGTAGTGAATTGTGTTATTTGGTTCCTACCTGATCCTCAGCGTCTGTTTGTCCCGTGGTTATTATAGATCCATGGTTTATCCACATGCTGCTGTCAGTAAGTTGTGGAACAGGGTTATTATAATAGATCCATGTGTGGGACAGGGCACTGAGCGCACAGTCTCCTTCTGCTTTCTCCTCACGCATTCTCCGACGCTGTTCCAATATTTAAAACAACGTGTTTCGCCTGCGTCATATGAGCTGCTGTTGATGTTGAAGGTGGTTTTGGTCTAAAAAGAGCAAACAGAGGCAGAGCAGACATGCTGCACATACGAGCCCTCAATGTTTTCCTCCGGTTCCGCGTCTATCCTCCGTGTGCTCTGCTGTCCAATAGGAGCGCCGATCGTCACACGTGTCGATATGTTTATATAAAAAAGTTCACTTGCAAAAAGGACAGTCTGAATACGAACCGGAGCAAAAGAAAAAAGTTTGGTCCGCTTTTGATTCGGATCAAGCAAGCGGAGCAAAGGACTTTTCAGGTCTGAATACACCCATAGATGTGTGTGTTGTCGTGACTCATGACGTGATAGATGTGTGTGTTGTCGTGACTCATGACGTCATAGATGTGTGTGTTGTCGTGACTCATGACGTCATAGATGTGTGTGTTGTTGTTTCTCATGACGTGATAGATGTGTGTGTTGTTGTTTCTCATGACGTCATAGATGTGTGTGTTGTCGTGACTCATGACGTGATAGATGTGTGTGTTGTCGTGACTCATGACGTCATAGATGTGTGTGTTGTTGTTTCTCATGACATGATAGATGTGTGTGTTGTCGTGACTCATGACGTGATAGATGTGTGTGTTGTCGTGACTCATGACGTGATAGATGTGTGTGTTGTCGTGACTCATGACGTGATAGATGTGTGTGTTGTCGTGACTCACGACGTGAGAGATGTGTGTGTTGTTGTTCCTCATGACGTGAGAGATGTGTGTGTTGTTGTTCCTCATGACGTGAGAGATGTGTGTGTTGTTGTTCCTCATGACGTGAGAGATGTGTGTGTTGTCGTGACTCATGACGTGATAGATGTGTGTGTTGTCGTGACTCATGACGTGATAGATGTGTGTGTTGTCGTGACTCATGACGTGATAGATGTGTGTGTTGTCGTGACTCATGACGTGAGAGATGTGTGTGTTGTTGTTTCTCATGACGTGATAGATGTGTGTGTTGTCGTGACTCATGACGTGATAGATGTGTGTGTTGTCGTGACTCATGACGTGAGAGATGTGTGTGTTGTTGTGACTCATGACGTGAGAGATGTGTGTGTTGTTGTTCCTCATGACGTGAGAGATGTGTGTGTTGTTGTTCCTCATGACGTGAGAGATGTGTGTGTTGTTGTTCCTCATGACGTGATAGATGTGTGTGTTGTCGTGACTCACGACGTGAGAGATGTGTGTGTTGTTGTTCCTCATGACGTCATAGATGTGTGTGTTGTCGTGACTCATGACGTGATAGATGTGTGTGTTGTCGTGACTCATGACGTCATAGATGTGTGTGTTGTTGTTTCTCATGACATGATAGATGTGTGTGTTGTCGTGACTCATGACGTGATAGATGTGTGTGTTGTCGTGACTCATGACGTCATAGATGTGTGTGTTGTTGTTTCTCATGACATGATAGATGTGTGTGTTGTCGTGACTCATGACGTGATAGATGTGTGTGTTGTCGTGACTCATGACGTGATAGATGTGTGTGTTGTCGTGACTCATGACGTGATAGATGTGTGTGTTGTCGTGACTCACGACGTGAGAGATGTGTGTGTTGTTGTTCCTCATGACGTGAGAGATGTGTGTGTTGTTGTTCCTCATGACGTGAGAGATGTGTGTGTTGTTGTTCCTCATGACGTGAGAGATGTGTGTGTTGTCGTGACTCATGACGTGATAGATGTGTGTGTTGTCGTGACTCATGACGTGATAGATGTGTGTGTTGTCGTGACTCATGACGTGATAGATGTGTGTGTTGTCGTGACTCATGACGTGAGAGATGTGTGTGTTGTTGTTTCTCATGACGTGATAGATGTGTGTGTTGTCGTGACTCATGACGTGATAGATGTGTGTGTTGTCGTGACTCATGACGTGAGAGATGTGTGTGTTGTTGTGACTCATGACGTGAGAGATGTGTGTGTTGTTGTTCCTCATGACGTGAGAGATGTGTGTGTTGTTGTTCCTCATGACGTGATAGATGTGTGTGTTGTCGTGACTCATGACGTGATAGATGTGTGTGTTGTCGTGACTCACGACGTGAGAGATGTGTGTGTTGTTGTTCCTCATGACGTGAGAGATGTGTGTGTTGTTGTTCCTCATGACGTGAGAGATGTGTGTGTTGTTGTTCCTCATGACGTGAGAGATGTGTGTGTTGTCGTGACTCATGACGTGATAGATGTGTGTGTTGTCGTGACTCATGACGTGATAGATGTGTGTGTTGTCGTGACTCATGACGTGATAGATGTGTGTGTTGTCGTGACTCATGACGTGAGAGATGTGTGTGTTGTTGTTTCTCATGACGTGATAGATGTGTGTGTTGTCGTGACTCATGACGTGATAGATGTGTGTGTTGTCGTGACTCATGACGTGAGAGATGTGTGTGTTGTTGTGACTCATGACGTGAGAGATGTGTGTGTTGTTGTTCCTCATGACGTGAGAGATGTGTGTGTTGTTGTTCCTCATGACGTGAGAGATGTGTGTGTTGTTGTTCCTCATGACGTGAGAGATGTGTGTGTTGTTGTTCCTCATGACGTGAGAGATGTGTGTGTTGTTGTTCCTCATGACGTGAGAGATGTGTGTGTTGTTGTTCCTCATGACGTGAGAGATGTGTGTGTTGTTGTTCCTCATGACGTGAGAGATGTGTGTGTTGTTGTTTCTCATGACATGATAGATGTGTGTGTTGTCGTGACTCATGACGTGATAGATGTGTGTGTTGTCGTGACTCATGACGTGATAGATGTGTGTGTTGTCGTGACTCATGACGTGATAGATGTGTGTGTTGTCGTGACTCATGACGTGAGAGATGTGTGTGTTGTTGTTCCTCATGACGTGATAGATGTGTGTGTTGTTGTTCCTCATGACGTGAGAAATGTGTGTGTTGTTGTTTCTCATGACATGATAGATGTGTGTGTTGTCGTGACTCATGACGTGATAGATGTGTGTGTTGTCGTGACTCATGACGTGAGAGATGTGTGTGTTGTTGTTCCTCATGACGTGAGAGATGTGTGTGTTGTTGTTCCTCATGACGTGAGAGATGTGTGTGTTGTTGTTCCTCATGACGTGATAGATGTGTGTGTTGTTGTTCCTCATGACGTGAGAGATGTGTGTGTTGTTGTTCCTCATGACGTGAGAGATGTGTGTGTTGTTGTTCCTCATGACGTGATAGATGTGTGTGTTGTTGTTCCTCATGACGTGATAGATGTGTGTGTTGTTGTTCCTCATGACGTGAGAGATGTGTGTGTTGTTGTTCCTCATGACGTGATAGATGTGTGTGTTGTTGTTCCTCATGACGTGAGAGATGTGTGTGTTGTTGTTTCTCATGACATGATAGATGTGTGTGTTGTCGTGACTCATGACGTGATAGATGTGTGTGTTGTCGTGACTCATGACGTGATAGATGTGTGTGTTGTCGTGACTCATGACGTGATAGATGTGTGTGTTGTTGTTCCTCATGACGTCATAGATGTGTGTGTTGTTGTTTCTCATGACATGATAGATGTGTGTGTTGTTGTTTCTCATGACGTCATAGATGTGTGTGTTGTCGTGACTCATGACGTGATAGATGTGTGTGTTGTCGTGACTCATGACGTCATAGATGTGTGTGTTGTCGTGACTCATGACGTGATAGATGTGTGTGTTGTTGTGACTCATGACGTCATAGATGTGTGTGTTGACGTGACTCATGACGTGATAGATGTGTGTGTTGTTTCTCATGATGTCATAGATGTGTGTGTGTTGTGTGTGTTTGTACCCAGTTTCTTCAGGACGTTGGAGCATCTGCAGACCTGACTCAGCAGCTGGCTGTAGGTGATCTGCGAGTGCTGGTCTGGACTGTTGCCTTCCCTGAAACACAGAACAACATGTGACATCACTGCAGAAAGACTTCAGATGCAGATGCTATTTACAGTTACAGTATAACTCACATTGGAACATTTGGATTTGTGTTGATTCAAACAAACACAAATATGTTAGAATGGTATTAATCTGTCACTACATACAGTACATCTCTCACTCTGCAGACAGTTTATTCAAGATGGACATTTATTGCATGTTTTACATAAAAACTATGAATGGGAACTGGCAAAAAATGTGACGATTCGATGGTATTGCGAGATTTGGGCCACACTTCAATATTATTGTGAATCTTTAAAAAAAATCGCAATACAGTTTTGTGATTGGATTCTGAGATATATTGTCATCCATGTCCCTCATATTATTCAAAGACGTTACAAACATGGAGGAAAATAAGACTCATTTATTATGCTCTGTTCATGTGGGCTCACACACCTGTTCCTCATCACCCTGGCTTCAAGTACCTGGTTGGAACTTCGCGTCGCTGCCAGATTATACTATGTCAGACGTCAGTATGCAGCAACAGTCCGAGTTTGTGCTTTGCAGTTTGTCTTATGGTTTTTTTTGTGTCCTGTGTTCAGGTCCTCCTTTTCCTGACCAGCCAGCCAGCTCCCTGTCTCAACTGCCTGCTTTAAGTTTTTTCGTTTTGTAAAGTAAATCCTCTTATAGTTTTGCTCTGTCTCCGTCTCTGCTTTGGGGTCCAGAACACTACTGTAACAGAATAATCTGGCCAAGAATGGACCCCGCAGAGGTTGAGCGGTTCAAACAAGCTCTGTGTTCAAGGGTCGAGAGTCGGGCAACATGAAAAGGCATTAAAGGAGATCATGGACTCTATTTCGAAGCTTTCAGCTCAAGTTTCAGAGATCAACAATCAGGTTGGACAAATGACTACACACCTGGCTTCAATCACCACACCTGCTCCTGCTCAGGCTTCTGGTCCTGCATTGAATCCAGCTCCTCCCAGCGTCCAGCCTGCCCAGTCCCGGGAGCCATTCATCCCTACCCCATCCAGGTATTTAGGAGAGCCAGGGACATGCAGTCAGTTCCTCCATCAGTGCATGCTTGTTTTCGACCAGCAACCGTTAACATACTCTTCAGACCGAGCTAGAGTAGTTTTTATAATGAGTTTGTTAACCGGTAAGGCTTCTGCATGGACTATGGCTCTAGCTAACAGCGACTCTGTTTATTGTCAGTCTCTTCACACGTTTTCCACTGAGATGCGTAAGGTATTTGAGCACCCACTACAGGGGAAAGAGGCGAGCAGCCGTCTTTCTCTGCGCCAGGGTTCAGGTTCAGTGTCTACATTCTTCATTGATTTTCGCATCTTAGCGGCAGAGTGTGGTTGGGATCAGAAGGCCCTTCAGGGGGTGTTCCTTCGGGGTTTAAGTGAAGAGGTCAAGGATGAGCTAGCAGCCCGTGATGAGACAAACTCTCTCGAAGATTTGATCTCTTTAGCGATTGGATGACAGATTGCGAGAGAGACGTAGGGAGAGATCAGGGAGACGTACTTCACCCTTTCCCAACACAAGCCCCACTCTTCCACCTGCTCCACCTTCTCCCCATCCGATGGAGTCATTATCTGCGGGTCCAGCTTCAAGTTCTCCAGTCTTCACGGAGGAACCGATGCAGCTGGGCAGTATGATCACCCCGGAAGAGAGGCGCCGTCGCTTCAATCACCGCCTCTGTATTGTGCCCAAGCTGGACACATTCTGGCTTGCTGTCCAAGTCGGCCAAAAGAGTCTGCTCATCAGCCACAGGGGGGGTCCTGGTGAGCCACACACCCACTGACCCCTCCACCCAGCGCATTCATCTACCAGGTACTGTCACTACTAAGAAGGATTCCTTTGCGCTCCAGGCCTTAGTGGATTCGGGGGCTGATGACAATTTCATTGACTGTGCATTTGTTTCCCAGTGCGATATCCCCACCGAGCCTCTGGCTAATCCTAAGACTGTGTTTGCCCTGGATTGTAAGCCACTTCCTACTGTGACTCACCGCACCGTTCCTGTGTCCCTCCTATTGTCCGGGAACCATCACGAGACTGTATCATTTTACGTTATTGACTCTCCTTCGACTCCTTTTGTTTTGGGTCTCCCTTGGTTAAAACTTCATAACCCACACATAAATTGGTCTAAGTTGACTATTGTTAATTGGAGTTTGTTTTGCCATACACACTGTCTCCATTCCTCTATCCCCTCAATTAAAACACGCACTAGCGAAAGCCCCGAGCCTATTGATCTGTTAGCTGTCCCGAGTGAGTACCATGACCTCCAGGAGGTGTTTTCCAAAGATCAAGCTTCTTCGTTGCCGCCTCACAGGCCTTATGATTGCAGTATAGACCTTGTTCCAGGGGCACCTTTACCCACTAGGAAGCTCTATAATCTATCAAAGCCTGAGAGGGAGGCTATGGAGGTATATATTAGAGAGTCATTAGTGGCAGGACTTATTCGACCTTCGTCCTCACCTGTTGGGGCTGGGTTTTTTTTTTGTGGACAAGACAAATCTCTCCGCCCGTGTATTGATTTTAGGGGCCTCAATGACATTACAGTGAAGAACAAATACCCACTACCACTGTTGGACTCAGCCTTTTGCTCCCTGCATGAGGCATCCATATTCACCAAACTGGACTTACGCAATGCTTACCATTTAGTCAGGATTAAAGAGGGGGATGAATGGAAGACTGCATTTAATACCCCCTTGGGACATTTTGAATATTTGGTTATGCCTTTTGGCCTAACCAATGCCCCAGCAGTATTCCAGGCATTGGTTAATGATGTTTTGCGAGACATGTTAAACAGATTTGTGTTTGTTTACATAGATGACATTTTGATTTTTCTCTCGCACCCCAGAGGAACATGTTCAGCATGTAATGTTAGTTCTTCAGCGCCTCCTTGAGAACAGGTCGTATGTCAAGGCAGAGAAGTGTGATTTTCATGCCGCAACTATTCAGTTTCTCGGGTTTGTGGTTGAAAGGGGACAGATTAGGTCCGATCCAGCCAAGGTCAAGGCAGTAGCTGACTGGCCCACTCCTACCAGTCGTAAGCTCCTACAAAGGTTTTTGGGGTTTGCAAATGTTTAAAGGAGGTTTATTCGAGATTACAGCAAAGTAGCTGCTCCTCTGACTAGGCTTACCTCTGTTAAGGTCCCTTTTGCTTGGTCAGCCGAAGCAGAGGCTTCTTTTGTTAATTTGAAAAGACTGTTTTGTTCTGCACCTGTCCTCTCCCATCCTGATTCCACAGCTCAGTTTATCGTCAAGGTTGACGCATCTGATTCTGGCGTCTGTGCAGTTCTCTCCCAGCGTTCCTCTTCGGACCACAAGCTCCACCCCTGTGCCTTCTTCTCTCGTCAGCTCAGCCCTGCAGAGAGGAACTACGATGTGGGCAACCGGGAACTGCTCGCTGTGGTCCTCGCGTTGAAGGAATGGCGACACTGGCTGGAGGGCTCTGCTCAGCCTTTTGTGGTATGGACTGACCACAAGAATTTGTCCTACCTTCGTTCTGCTCACAGGCTGAACGCTCGCCAGGCTCGATGGGCACTTTTTTTGGGTCAATTTAAATTCACCCTTACCTACCGTCCTGGATCCAGGAACACAAAGCCTGACGTTCTCTCACGCATGTTTTCTGCACTCAGTGGGGAGAGGTCTGAGGAGACTATCTTACCCTCTTGTGTGATCGGTGCTGCCAGTTGGGAGGTGGAGAGAACGGTTCAGGAGGCTTAGGTCAGTCATGCTTGTCCTTCAGAGCTGCTGTTTGTTCCGCCGTCCGCTCGGTCCAGGGTACTCCAGTGGGGTCATGATTCTAAGTTAGCCTGCTACCCTGGATTTCACCGCACTCTGGCCCTAGTCAGACAACGCTTCTGGTGGCCCTCTATGTCTTCGGATACTAGGGAATATGTCTCTGCCTGCTCCGTCTTTGCTCGGAGTAAGGCGTCTCACCGTGCTCCAGCCGGCCTTCTCCGCCCCCTGCCTATTCCGCATCGTCCTTGGTCCCACATAGCGGTGGATTTTGTAACCGGCCTGCAACCGTCTGAGGGTAACACCACCATTCTGTCTGTTGTTGACAGGTTCTCTAAATGTGTTCATTTTGTCCCGTTGCCCAAACTTCCCTCTGCACTTGAGACTGCAAACTTGCTGGTTCTGCATGTTTTCAGGTTACACGGACTACCCCAGGACATTGTGTCTGATCGAGGGCCCCAGTTCGCCTCTCAGGTTTGGAAGGCTTTTTGTAGAGCCTTGGGGGCGTCTGCAAGCCTGTCATCGGGATATCATCCGCAGACCAATGGCCAGACTGAGCGAGCTAACCAGGATCTTGAGGCAGCCATGCGTTGTGTCACGGCACGTTTCCCGGCTTCCTGGTCTACACATGTGCCGTGGATCGAATATTCCCACAATTCGTTGGTCTCTTCGGCTACTGGTATGTCTCCGTTCATGGCCGCCAATGGTTTTCAACCTCCACTGTTTCCTTCCCAGGAGGCTTTAGTGACTGTTCCTTCTGTGCAACATCATCTGCGTCGTGCCAGACAGGTGTGGCGGGAGGTCAGGGCTGTTCTCTCTCGAACGGCCGCTCGGAACAAACTGATTGCTGACTGCCGTTGATCTGCGGCTCCGGACTACAGGCCTGGTGAGAGGGTGTGGCTTTTCACCAGGGATCTCCCCCTCCAGGTGGAGTCTCGTAAGCTGGTTCCAAGATATGTTGGTCCTTATGAAATTGAGCGTGTCATAAATCCTTCTGTGGTGAGGCTCAAGTTGCCCGTGTCCTTGAATGTTCACCCTGCATTTCATGTGTCACTGCCTAAACCTGTGGCTTCGAGTCTCCTCAGCCCGCCGGCCGTGCCCCCTCCGCCCCCCCGTGTCGTTGGCGGTGGTCCGGTCTATTCTGTTCGGCGCATATTGGATGTGCGGCGGCGTGGGCGGGGTTTCCAGTTTTTGGTTGATTGGGAGGGGTACGGTCCGGAGGATCGCTCTTGGGTGTCGCGCTTGATGATCCTGGACCCTGCTCTATTGTCTGATTTTTACGCCTCGCATCCTGGCCGGCCTGGGGGTCCGCCGGGTGGCGTCCGTTGAGTGGGGGGTACTGTTGGGTTTGGGTTTTGCTCTGCCTCCCCCCTCCCTTTCTGTTGTTTTCAAGGCATGTGTGAGACCGGGGGCATGGCTGGCTCAGCAGCAGGTGTGTGTGGGCTCACACACCTGTTCCTCATAATGGCTTCAAGTACCTGGTTGGAACTTCGCGTCGCTGCCAGATTATACTATGTCAGACGTCAGTATACAGCAACAGTCGGAGTTTGTGCTTTGCAGTTTGTCTTATGGTTTTTTTTGTGTCCTGTGTTCAGGTCCTCCTTTTCCTGACCAGCCAGCCAGCTCCCTGTCTCAACTGCCTGCTTTAAGTTTTTTCGTTTTGTAAAGTAAATCCTCTTATAATTTCGCTCTGTCTCCGTCTCTGCTTTGGGGTCCAGAACACTACCGTAACACATCATAGAGGAACATTAACCTCAGTAAACTTTGAGAAAACAGAAAATTATTCAATTCAATATCGTAATACTTTATACTGCACAGAATAGATTTTTCCGCACCACTGTTAAAAACGGTATGATTTGGTGGTAAGACCTTGGCAAAGCACTGTGAAGAATGCAGAAGGGAAATGCCCCGGGCCGAGACCCTGGTGATGGGAGGTGAGAAGGGTTATTGAGGAGGTGGGTTGCTGCACGATATGAAATACTGGGAGTGACTGATGGGAAGGGGGAGGACTGAGAGCATTTTCTCCAGTCTTCGAGTCTGGATCTCTGCTTTAGCTTTTGTGCAAAAATACCCAGTGAACACAACAGATGACAAAGCACTGAAGACAATACAGAGAAAACACATTTGATTTTAAAAGAGAATGATGAAATGATAACAAAGTGAAGAAGCTAATGTTTTGAAAGGTCAAGTTCCCGGAGCAGAGAGTGATGTGGGAGGCTGTTGTGGAAATAGAACAGTTTTTAAAAAGCGCTGAATAAGCAATAGCCTCGGTTTACAAAACAAATATTAGGATGGACCAGAGAGGGACCAGAGAGAGACCAGAGAAAAACCAGATAGGGACATGAGAGGGACCAGCGAGAGACATGAGAGGGACCAGAGAGGGATTAGAGAGAGACCAGAGAGAAACCAGATAGGGACATGAGAGGGACATGAGAGGGACCTTAGAGGGACTAGAGACCAGAGAGAGACCAGAGAGAAACCAGATAGGGACGTGAGAGGGACCAGAGAGAGACCAGAGATGGACATGAGAGGGACCAGAGAGAGACCAGAGAGGGACATGAGAGGGACCAGAAGGAGACCAGAGAGGGACATGAGAGGGACCAGAGAGAGACCAGTGAGAGAAAGACTTTATTTAACCCTGGGAATGCCCATTTTACAGTAACATGGGGAGGCAGTGTTGTTTATTTTGGATGTGACAGGGTGTGGTTTCTCTCTCTGCCCTCTCTTTGGTCTCTCTCTGGTCCTTGTAGGTTTGTGTTAAAATGATCTTATCAATAAAATAAAATAAATCATAATAGATCTGGGTTCAAACAGAGCGCAGCGTTGATAGCTTTGTTTATAAATTGTGCTTTATAAATAAACTCGACCTTGGCCTACATCTTGTCTTATTTACTTTTAGACCATGTGTTTTAGTCCTTTCACCACTACAGTCCAGTCTAATTTCCATAGTTCAGAGTTGTTATAATAATAATAATGAAAATTTAAAAAATCTTTACGTATTATGTACTTATCAAAACAGTGAAAAGTACTTTGCAGTCATTATAATAATAATGTATTTGTTTTATATAGCGCTTTTCTGGACACACAGCATTTTGTGTTGGAGAGGGGGACGCATTTAGAGGTCGCACCAGTTGCTATTTACTTTGCATGTTCCACATCGCTCTGGGACGCCTGCGTTACAGATCAAAGAGAGCTGGCAACTCACTATTAGTGAGTTGCCAGCTCTCTTTGTTTTTAGAGACCACTTTGTCTCCCATAGAATGTCTCTTGGGAAGTTTTCGTCATTTGAATATGTGTCTTTTAAAATACAACAAAAACAATCTCCTCCAATACTCTTCGTTGTCCTATACAAGCCACCGCAGTCATGTCACAGTTTTATTGATAATTTTACCGAGTTGCTTTCAGTTGTATGCACAGATTTTGATAGTTTGGTTATTACAGGTGATTTTAATATTCATGTGGATAATGTTGATGACAGAAATGCAAATGAGCTGAGTTCTGTACTTGAATCCTTTGATCTCACTCAGCACGTAAGTGGCCCCACCCACCGCAGAGGGCACACTCTAGATCTGTTAGTTACAAAGGGGGTGATTATTTCAAATGTAAACGTGGTCGATGTTGCTCTTTCGGATCATTTCTGTGTTTTTTTTGACATGTGTTTCACTAACAAACCACCAGTGGACTCTGCAACTGTTCGAAGAAGACACATAAATGAAAATACGAGTGAACTATTTATGGGAATGATAAACTTTGAGAATGCATCGTATTCTACTGTAGATGAACTGTTTAACTCTGTCACCTCTAGTGTTTTGAATGTTCTGGATACCGTTGCCCCTGTGAAGGTTAAAATAGTGAAAAATAAGCAGAAGGCGCCGTGGGCTAAAGCAGACTCGGTCAGGGCACAAAAGAGAAAGTGCCGGAGGGCCGAGCGGAAGTGGCGCAAGTCCAACCTCCAGGTAGATTACGAGATCTTCAAAGATAAGTTGTGCGAGTTTAACCGGGTGCTACGTAGTACGAGAGAAAGGTATTTTTCTGAAATGATTGAAGGCTGCAGCAACAATCTGCGTGTTCTGTTCTCAACAGTTAATAGATTAACAACCCCCCCTGTTCAAATGCCATTAGAGCTTACTTCCAAACGTAAATGCAATGAGTTTGCTAATTTTTTCAATGACAAGGTTCAAGGCATCAAAAACGCCATTGTCTCCAATCCACAGATAACCATCCAACAGCCAGAAAGGCTCTCTGAGCTAACTCATTTGCACCTGTAAATGATAAAACTGTCCAAGAGATAATCTCCAGTTTGAGCTCCTCCACATGCAGCTTGGATGTACTACCCACTAGATTTCTGAAGTCTGTTCTGAGCAGTCTGTTACCTTCGCAGACAAAACTGAAATGATTGTCTTTGGTCCCCAGAAACAAAGAGAGAGCGTCATCTGTCACCTACAGTCTCTCTCCCTAAAATCTTCAAACAAGGTCAGAAATCTAGGGGTAATACTGGACTCAGACTTAAATTTTAATAGCCACATCAAATCAGTAACATCAGCAGATTTTTACCATCTAAAAAACATTGCCAGGATCAAAAACATAGTGTCTAAAGCAGACTTGGAGATTCTTATCCATGCATTTGTCTCCAGTAGGTTAGACTACTGCAATGGCCTGCTCACAGGTCTGTCCAAACAGGCTGTAAAACAGCTGCAGTACATTCAAAATGCAGCAGCTCGAGTCCTGACTAGAACCAGGAAGTACGACCACATTAGTCCAGTTCTCAGGTCTCTGCACTGGCTTCCTGTGGCTCAGAGAATAGACTTTAAAACAGCTCTGCTTGTTACAAGTCTCACCATGGCCTCGCACCAAAATATATTAGTGACATGTTAGTCCCATATGAACCAGCCCGGACTCTGAGGAGCACAGGGACTGGACTCCTGTTAGTGCCCAGAGTCAGAACTAAACATGGGGAGGCTGCTTCAGATTCATGCTGCTAAAATCTGGAACAGTCTTCCTGAAGATATGAGACAGGCCTCCTCTCTGACAATGTTTAAAACCAGGTTAAAGACACTTCTGTTTAACTGTGCATACAACTGAGGGATTTTATATTTTTATCTTTCTTTTTAATGTTCTGTGATAATTTATGATTTTAATGCTTTCTTGTTTTGTTCAGCACTTTGAATTGCCTTGTGTATGAATTGTGCTATATAAATAAACTTGCCTTGCCTTGCCTATTACTGCTACTGCTGCTACTGCTGCTACTACTACAACCGTTACTGCTACTACTGCTATTGCTACTACTACTATTGCTGCTGCTGCTGCTACTACTACTGCTACTGCTTCTACTACTGCTACAACTACAACTACAACTACTACTACTACTACTACTGCTACTGCTTCTACTACTGCTACAACTACTATTGCTGCTGCTGCTACTACTACTGCTGCTGCTACTGCTACTACTACTACTACTACTACTACTGCTACTGCTACTGCTACTGCTTCTACTACTGCTACAACTACTATTGCTGCTGCTGCTGCTACTGCTGCTACTGCTGCTGCTACTGCTGCTGCTACTGCTCCTACTACTACTACTGCTGCTGCTACTGCTACTACTACTACTGCTGCGGCTACTACTACTACTGCTGTTACTACTACTATCAAACCGTTCAAACACAGATAATGCAATCATAAAAACACAGAGTCATTGATCCATAAGCGACAGACACCAATGTAAATAAATGTTCATAAATGTTGTTGAATTCTTCTCTGTGCAGGTGGATGTACACAGGTGTCAGGCTCCTGTTTCCCCTACCACTAAAAACACGTACAATGGGTCTGAATGTAATGAGTGACAGAATGGACGTCTCTGGTTTGAGTTTGGAGTTCTTTGACCCTGGATTTTGTTATTATTTGAGTTTTTGTGTAATAAATGTTATAATTTTTGACACTCCTCCATAAACATGACTTACTTACTATTATTCAAAGTATTTCCTACTCCACTTACTACTTACAGTGGCTCAGTTGGTAGACCATTGGCCTTTAATGCTGAAGTCTCTGCCTTTGTGCCCTGAAGCAATGGCACTCACCAGTAGAACGCCACCTTGTCTCCCAGGTTGCCATCGGTGACGTGTCGGTCCAGGACGTTGTAGCACATGTTTGTCTTTGCTCCTTCCAAACATTTGACGAAGATGTTTCCCTTCGTCACGTCAAAATTGTACTGGAGCACTGGTCCGATGGCCGGCTTCTTCCAATAAAACTCTGCTGCTACTTCTTTCCAAAACGCTGGAAAATAAAGATTATACATTAAAAAAAGAAACAAAACTAAATCTACCTCATTCCCACTGATCAAAAACACAGGAATGTCACAGTTTCTTCACACACAGAGCTCAAAACAACTCTGCATTTAACCCGCCTTGCGACCTAAACATGAGGGACAATAGTTTAAATAATGACAGCGTAACGAGCCGTGGAGCTGTATAGCAACGGTGAAGCTCCCCCCTTCCCATTTGGGAGCCGCTTTAGTCCTGGATCTACAGCCTCAGTATGGGTCTACAGCCTCAGTCCTGGATCTAAAATCCACAGCCTCAGTCCCGCATTTACAGCCTCAGTCCTGGATCTAGGTTCCACAGCCTCAGTCCTGGATCTACAGCCTCAGTCCTGGATCTAGGTTCCACAGCCTCAGTCCTGGATCTGCAGCCTCAGTCCTGGGTCTACAGCCTCAGTCCTGGATCTACAGCCTCAGTCATGGGTCTACCGCCTCAGTCATGGGTCTACAGCCTCAGTCCTAAATGTAAATGTAAATGTGCACTTTATTGTCCCCATAGGGGGATTTGTTCTCTGCATTTGACCCATCCTGATGCCGCGAAGGCTTATGTCAGGAGCAGTGGTCGCCATAGTACAGCGCCCGGGAACCAATCTCCAGATGTTGATGCTCGGCTTGGTCAGGACTACCGGAGCAGGAGGATTTTACCTACTGAGCATATTTTTAGTGGTAGGGGAAACCGGAGCACCCGGAGGAAACCTACACAGACACGGGAAGAACATGCAAACTCCACTCAGAAAGGCCCTGTTCTGACCGGGATTCGAACCCAGGACCTTCTTGCTGAGAGGCGAGATTGCTATTCACTCAGCCACTGTGCCGCCATCCTGAGTCCACAGCCTCAGTCCTGGGTCTACAGCCTCAGTCCTGGGTCTACAGCCTCAGTCCTGGGTCTACAGCCTCAGTCCTGGGTCTACAGCCTCAGTCCTGGGTCTACAGCCTCAGTCCTGGGTCTACAGCCTCAGTCCTGGGTCCACAGCCCCAGTCTACAGTGTGTCCTCTCAGCAACTTTAGATTCAGTTCCTCATTTTCGCAAACTCAGAATTTCCTGAAAACGCAGTTGACCCATGATGCAAAAACTAAAGTGTAGAAATAGACTTAGATCCAAATGATCAAACGGAAATAAAGTTCTTCTGCTTTTTACTTTGTGCCTATTCTGTGCACTCATAGCAACACATCCAAACCATGGCCCGCGAGCCAAATGCGGCCCTCTGTGTCTGGTTATGTGGCCCTGTCCTTGCTAACATAAACTAGTCTGTGAGATCATAAACTCAAGTTCACAGTGTCATCCAGCCAACTTCAGCTCCACCATTATATTTGTGTTATACCTCATTGTTAAGCTATCAACCTCTGGAAGAATCTATTAGTATTGTTATTATTTTTGTTATTATTGTTTGCCAGTTTTTAAGATTAATAAATGGTAAATTACATATCTATAGAACTAGTCAACATCTATTGTTTATGATTCTATATATTTATTTTCATTTCTTTTATCGTTTTGTTTTCTTGTGTCTTTATCTTATTTTATTTTATTTTACTTTTTTTGGCACAAGGGGAACATAGCAGGGAATAAAGATTCACAATTCAAGAATTTATTTGCCATTTGCAGTAAAACCTCTTTGGAAAAACTGTGCAAGACTCCCTCGGTGTGCACCAGACACACACCAGAGCTCCAGCACCATGTGACAAGGATACCATGTGGGAACGAAGAGTGAACTACTGAAGATGACACAATAAAGTATTAAAAAAAAAAATAATAATAAAAAAAAGATCCTGTATTGGTCCCACAGTGGGGAAATGTCAGTGTTGCATTACCAGTTACAGAACAGTAGGAGAAGCACACAGCACAAGAGAAATGAACAATAACGCTTTACTTTAGAAATATATACAATCTCTAACTTCAGCATAATAAGGTAGAAAGTATAAAACGTTAGCTTTAGCATAATAAAGAAGCTAGTATAAAACCGTTAGCTTTAGCATAATAAAGAAGCTAGTATAAAACCGTTAGCTTTAGCATAATAGAGAAGCTAGTATAAAACCGTTAGCTTTAGCATAATAAAGAAGCTAGTATAAAACGTTAGCTTTAGCATAATAAAGAAGCTAGTATAAAACCGTTAGCTTTAGCATAATAAAGAAGCTAGTATAAAACCGTTAGCTTTAGCATAATAGAGAAGCTAGTATAAAACCGTTAGCTTTAGCATAATAAAGAAGCTAGTATAAAACCGTTAGCTTTAGCGTAATAAAGAAGCTAGTATAAAACCGTTAGCTTTAGCATAATAAAGAAGCTAGTATAAAACCGTTAACTTTAGCATAATAAAGAAGCTAGTATAAAACCGTTAGCTTTAGCATAATAAAGAAGCTAGTATAAAACCGTTAACTTTAGCATAATAAAGAAGTATAAAACCGTTAGCTTTAGCATAATAAAGAAGCTAGTATAAAACCGTTAACTTTAGCATAATAAAGAAGTATAAAACCGTTAGCTTTAGCATAATAAAGAAGCTAGTATAAAATCTCTAGCTTTAGCATAATAAAGAAGCTAGTATAAAACCGTTAGCTTTAGCATAATAAAGAAGCTAGTATAAAACCGTTAACTTTAGCATAATAAAGAAGTATAAAACCGTTAGCTTTAGCATAATAAAGAAGCTAGCATAAAACCGTTAGCTTTAGCATAATAAAGAAGCTAGTATAAAACCGTTAACTTTAGCATAATAAAGAAGTATAAAACCGTTAGCTTTAGCATAATAAAGAAGCTAGCATAAAACCGTTAGCTTTAGCATAATAAAGAAGCTAGTATAAAACCGTTAACTTTAGCATAATAAAGAAGCTAGTATAAAACCGTTAGCGTTAGCATAATAAAAGAAGTATAAAACCGTTAGCTTTAGCATAATAAAGAAGCTAGTATAAAAACCGTTAGCGTTAGCATAATAAAAGAAGTATAAAACCGTTAGCTTTAGCATAATAAAGAAGCTAGTATAAAACCGTTAGCGTTAGCATAATAAAAGAAGTATAAAACCGTTAGCTTTAGCATAATAAAGAAGCTAGTATAAAACCGTTAGCGTTAGCATAATAAAAGAAGTATAAAACCGTTAGCTTTAGCATAATAAAGAAGCTAGTATAAAACCGTTAGCGTTAGCATAATAAAAGAAGTATAAAACCGTTAGCTTTAGCATAATAAAGAAGCTAGTATAAAACCGTTAGCGTTAGCATAATAAAAGAAGTATAAAACCGTTAGCTTTAGCATAATAAAGAAGCTAGTATAAAACCGTTAGCTTTAGCATAATAAAGAAGCTAGTATAAAACCGTTAGCTTTAGCATAATAGAGAAGCTAGTATAAAATCTCTAACTTTAGCATAATAAAGAAGCTAGTATAAAACCGTTAGCTTTAGCATAATAAAGAAGCTAGTATAAAACCGTTAGCTTTAGCGTAATAAAGAAGCTAGTATAAAACCGTTAGCTTTAGCATAATAAAGAAGCTAGTATAAAACCGTTAACTTTAGCATAATAAAGAAGTATAAAACCGTTAGCTTTAGCATAATAAAGAAGCTAGCATAAAACCGTTAGCTTTAGCATAATAAAGAAGCTAGTATAAAACCGTTAGCGTTAGCATAATAAAAGAAGTATAAAACCGTTAGCTTTAGCATAATAAAGAAGCTAGTATAAAATCTCTGACTTTAGCATAACACATAAATATATGCTAGAAATCTATATTTTTGTGTTTACATCTTTACGTGTTAGCAGCAAAGTTACTCAGTAAAGGGACACTGATATATATATATATATATTTTTTTTTTTTTACCTTTATTTATGAAGGAAAAATCCCATTGAGATTAAAACCCTCTTTTTCAAGGGAGTCCTGAATAGAGGCAGCAAAATTTGAGTCAAAAGATATTTCACACTCTGATATAATTTTAAACAATTGCACAGATTTGCACAGAACACCCAGATTTATACAAACACAAACAAGATACAAACTGCATGTCAGAGAGTGAAAGTCGCACAAGAGAGACTATATTTATGCACAACCTGATTCTATCTGTGCCAAATGTGACATGTACACCTCTCCATTGTGAGATCAGTAAAGTTTATCTTTTTTGATCTATTTCTTTTTCAATATGCAATTTACTGTATGTATTTGATATCATCTTTTAACTACGAACCGTATTGTCCTTAACAAAGGATAATGATAATGATAATATATTTTCTTCTCTTCTCGTACCTTCTGGATTATCAATAGACTTCTTGTAGAGCTCCAGGTAAGTGGCAAAATCTGGCACATGGGCGTCCTGCTGTAGATCCAAGGGCGGGTGGAACATCTCCTCCTTGGAATCTGGAACAACCATTGTGTAGAAGTAAATAAGGCGACTTTATCATTGACTGGAAGTTCTACTGCTACTGCTGCTCCTGCTGTTACTGCTGCTTCTGCTTCTAACTTTCTGTCCCTGTGCTCTTGTGTTGTGGTCCCAAACTGGAGTCCTCCCACAGTTACGCTCTGACGGTCTGCTCAGAGCGGCTCCAGCCAATGGGAGGGCAGGAATGAGCCCTCCCACTCTGTGATTGGTCGAGCCCACCCTGGTCTGCTCATGGCTTTATGGTGGAGGCAGAAACACAGGAGGGAGACGGGAAGAGAGCCAAGGATAAATCTGTGCCCCAGACCGTAGTGACAACAGAGCCCTGGCAGCGGTAGGTGACAGGGATTCTACTTTTAACCTGTGCATTTCTTTAATAAAGATAATAATAATGATTATAATACATTTTCGACACTCAAAGATGCTTAATGCAGAATAAAATTGCAGATGCAGAATAAAATTAAGAAAAAAAACAAAAATAGCTATAAATAAACAGTTCAAAAAGGTAGTATATAAAAATCTGGCCAAAAGTGGTACTGCAGCCTCTCCCACTCTCTCTGACTCAGGTTGCCAGATATGCAGACGAATCCAGCTGGGACCATAACAGCTGAATAGACAAGAGTTTTGTCAACAACAAATCTATAACCAACACCTTTTTCACAAAGATAGAAATCCTGGTTTTATTCCTTGTTTTGTAGTTAATGATTTGAGAATCATAACGAGACCTTTTTTAGTTCTGTGCCCACATGGTACTTAACCAGTGAGATTATCTCGACACGGTGAGCTCTGGCGCCCGGATCTAATCTAAGATTTAGGGTCTGGAAAACTAAATTTGAAATTCAAATATCTCTGAACTACAGTTATCAGTTAAAGAAGTATTGGAAAAGAGCAAGTTTTAGTATGCCTTTGGACAGATTAGGGCCCTTTAATGATGACAGAATAGGGCCCTTTAATGATGACAGATTAGCGCCCTTTAATGATGACAGAATAGGGCCCTTTAATGATGACAGAATAGGGCACTTTAATGATGACAGAATAGGGCCCTTTAATGATGACAGAATAGGGCACTTTAATGATGACAGATTAGCGCCCTTTAATGATGACAGAATAGGGCCCTTTAATGATGACAGAATAGGGCACTTTAATGATGACAGAATAGGGCCCTTTAATGATGACAGAATAGGGCCCTTTAATGATGACAGAATAGGGCCCTTTAATGATGACTCGACATGAAAATCTTACATAATGCTACTTTAAAGCTGGGGTACCTCATGGAACTGTGTCGTACAATCCAAGTCTCTAAATTCCTCACTCAGGGGCGGCTTGTGTCTCACAGCAAGAAGGTCCATGGTTTGATTCCACCTCCAGGTCTTTCTGGGTGGAGTTTGCATGTTCTCCCCGTGTCTGCTTCGGTTTTCTGCAGGTGCTCCGGTTTGCTTCAGGCAAAGTGGGGTTAAGTGTCTAGGTGTCTTGCCCAAGGACACAACGACAGCATGCATCAGTGGGATCTTCAGACCTTCAGACTCAAAGGCCAATGCTCTACCGACTGTCACCACCACATTGGTAAAATGTGCTATATTAACTGGCCTCCAGCTGGGACTCTGAGGAGCACAGGGACTGGCCTCCTGCTGGGACTGAGGAGACCAGAGAGAGACCAGAGAGAGAGAGGCCAGAGAGAGACCAGAGAGAGATGGAAAGACCAGAGACAATAGAGAGAGACAATAGAGAGAGACCAGAGAGAGAGACATACAAGAGAGACGCACAAGAGAGACCAGACCTTGAGCAGACAGCCCCACAGCGCTCTCTGCTGGATGAGGCTCCACTGTACTGGCCCCTAACAGTCTGGTGTCAGACATAACAATTATACAAAGCAGCAAAACGCGATTCTTTCAATCTTAATAAATATATTTACAAAAGTAAGTCGTTGAAGGAGCTATGCCCGTTCCAGCAAGGTTTTTTTTACCGCCCCCCATCTCGCTCACAGGCTTCTCATTTCTCCTACGCTCTCATCCCACGGAGCCATCTAGTTTGATTTGCGATCTGATACGTATGCTAACAATAAGCATTAGCACAACTTCTTGTAAGCTGTACCACAATCACTGATGAAATGGTACAAAAGCAACGCACTGCTAACAAAATATATAACTGAAAGATTACCGCTAGTTCCGCGTCCGAAGGTAGTCCAAGCATAGATAGTCCAAGCGTAGATAGTCCGAGGTGGTCCTGCAGGTCTCTCCAGAGGATACATGCATCAAGAGTTCCGAGCTTCCGGCTCGACCGCATTTTCGGATTTTCCGCATTTTCGGTAGTTTTCTCAAAAAGGTGGGCATCAAATCACGCTGCCATATTGGATTACATGTTGTGAACGTGAACTTTCTCTCTTGTTTCCAGCCCATAGATCGTTTTAATAGTTTAAAAATTCACCAATTTCAGACATTTTGAATGTAAGGTAAAGAAGCTCGGAACTCTTGATGCATGTATACGATGTAAGCTAGCTCTGTTCACCCGGGCTTGATTTTTTGGCTTTTGTTACTTCTTCTCTTCCTCACTGTTGTGTCATTTGGGCTGTTTTGCTGTGTCTGCAGTTACAGCCAGAGAAGGTATATAGCCACTTTCTGCTAACATGCTGTGTTTACCTGCGCTGCAGACGCTAGAGGAGGCGTGGCCTGTTCGTAACAGCGCCGCTCCTCGTTCTGTGATTGGAGGAGAGCGGGTGTCACGCTCACAAGTTTCTACTCAGCACTTTTTACGGCTTGAATTCATACACAGCTGAATCAATGAGCTCAAGTTTAGAATTAAATTACGGATTTTAATATAGCTTGTATGTAGTAAAACGCATTTTTTTTAACTCATTAGAAAATAAATTGGGTATAGCTTCTTTAAGCATTATTTATGTAGCACAACTCACAGACAGATTGAAAGATATATACATACTTTATTGATCCCTGTAGGAGAATTAACGTGTCAATATAAATGATGTGGTTATTTTCCTGTTAAACGTATCTGTAACTTGAGGAAGACGGTCATTATTAGAGTGTAGTTCCTGTAGTGACCACTAGAGGTTGCCAGCTCCCCATATAAACACACAGACCTGTTCACTTCTGCTCTTCTGCTTGTGGCCTCACTCCGTATCTTTGAACGTCCTTCATCTGCTCCAGGGTTTACCTCTTCATTGGTTTGACTCTAATTCATTTAATTATCAGTCTCAAAAAGTCTGCTTATAGAACCTTGAGTGGGTCCTACTGTTTGAGGAATTTTGTTTTCATGAATATGTTTAATATTGACACTTAGATAGATAGAAAGTAAACTAAACTAAACTAATTCTGATAATCTGAGGAGACAATTTTAGACAGAATGGGAAGGGGCAAAGGTTGTTTCCAAAGATATTTCTGATATTCCTGATATTAGAGAGGATGGAGCTGGAATCATCAGCAGATCTGCTTTTGATGCAGGTCCTCTAGATGCAGGTCCTCTAGATGCAGGTCCTCTGGATGCAGGTCCTCTAGATCAGAGGTCTCCAACCTTTTTAATTCAGAGAGCTACTTTTATACAACAATTGAGGCAGAGGGCCCCCCTTTTTTTGCAGTCGTAATACAAATGTAATATTATTTAATCTAAAATAAGAAAAGAAAGAACACACATGGAGAACGCATGTAAATATACCATAATACTGTATAAACTTATATTTACACTTATAATAGATATGTGATGACTCAACACGTTTCTTTCAGGATCATGTGTTCAATTCTAAATCCTTTGGGGAGCTAAATGAAAGGGGCTGGTGAGCTATACTGGTATCTCCCGAGCCATAGGTTGGAGACCCCTGCTCTAGATGCAGGACCTCTAGCTGGAAGTCCTCTAGATACGGGTCCTCTAGATGCAGGACCTCTAGATGCAGGTCCTCTAGCTGTGGTCCTCTCACTGCGGTCCTCGGGCTGCAGATCCAGCGCTCCCCGCTTGTTCCCTGGCCCGTGCCTTAATGAGCAGTGGAGGAGGAGGAGAGCGGATAAACAGCCACAGCTCCGCGAACATGGCCGCTGTAGCTGTCCCTCTGTCCCGCTGACAGCTCCAGAGCCTCCGGGGGGACACCTCCACACTCTCACCCGGGCTCTCCCTGCTCCCATGGCCCGCTACAGTCGCTCCACACACCGGTAAGTCGCGCTCCAAGTTTGCCCCCACCATCGACACGGCACCGTTAGAAACACCATCCCAGTATATACACACAGCCACACACACACACACACACACACACACACAGACACACACACACATCTGCTTTTATCTCTACTTTTCATCATCAGACCATCCATTTGTAGTAATAGTAGTTTGTATCTTCCCTCATTATGGACATTAGATCTTAGCCCACATGTTATCAAAGACCTTATACAATTTACAATAAGAAAAACACAGAACTATATCGTGTAGATGCAGATTTTTAGTTGTAAATAACGCCTGACCGAAAGAGGTTTAGGCTGAAGTGGAGACTGTCCACCGCCGGAGAAGATTTACCTCCAATCGGTTCTTTCTCCACCATTTAAACTCACTTGTCATTGTCTAGTCCTATCATTAAAACACGTGAATTTAGTGTCAAACTGAGAGACTGACTTTGCATCAGAGAAACAGCGCTTAAAACATTGTCCATAAGTCGCTTTTTGAACAAGTAGTGACGCGTCCTTCCTGCTCTTACGCATGACAGCTTACACCCAGTGCGCACGGACCAGGGGGGGGCAGAGAGAGAGCTGCCGCTGTGGGAGCAAGGGGGCCCGGGTGGGGGGCAGGGGGGGACGGGGGTTTGGTGTGTGACAGTGGGAGAGAGTCGAACTGTTGTGGAGAAATTGGCTCCTAAATCACCGAGTTTGTTGTTGGCACGTCAGACCCGCGCGTCCAGGGCCATGACACCTGTGCGCCACTTCCGCCCCGAGCTTTTCACAATTAAACCAGGAGAGACCACGGATCTACAGGGAGACACGAGCTGAGGATGTGTCTCTGGTTTTTCTAGGATCGTGGTTTGAATTAAAGCTGGGGGGTGTAACTTTCAAACCACAGCCATAGAACTAGTGTAACGCATCTACGTCACCGGGTCTTGGCTCTAAACACGTTTGATTCTGTCTCTATGGTTCCCGCATGTGCGTTTGTTTGGCCACCGTCACGCCTTTACGTTGGCTTTTTCAGACAGAAAAGTGAAAAAGAGAGGACCAGCCTCGCTCAGCCAATCAGCTGTCAGTAAATTGTGCCTCTGGTTGTTGTGGTTGTGGAAGGGTTAAGAGCTGGCGCTGCTGCAGTCCGCTGGTTCACACTTTTGTAACGTCCTCTTTCCTCTTTCTTCCAGTACGTTCCATGGTCAGAATATTGTGTTTGTTTGTAAAATGACAGCATCGAGTTGCAAAAGCACTAATACGACTCACTACTGACAATCACGAGAACGTTTTTTATTTATTTTTTCATTTTAAGTAAGTGGGCATATAAATCACAAACATCTTGGGTACATTTACAAAATATAACAACACAAAAAGTATTTATAACAAAAAGAGTAATAATACTAATACAACACTTATGGATGCTCGAAAAGGAGTGAGTACAAAGTGAAAGACGACTGCGAAGTGAAAGCGAAATGGATGTGTCTTTCTGTTGTATCTGATTCATACATTGGTCTTCACTCACTCAAGCCTTTGAGAATGTGCTCCTGAGGTCGAAGGCCGCATTTATCATGTGTTTATTTCAAGTATTTGTGTGTCGTCCACAATCACAACAGCAGTCGTCTGGTGGACTATACAGAGGCTGAGGCTGTAGATCCAGGACTGAGGCTGTAGACCCAGGACTGAGGCTGTAGACCCAGGACTGAGGCTGTAGATCCAGGACTGAGGCTGTAGACCCAGGACTGAGGCTGTAGACTGAGGCTGTAGACTGAGGCTGTAGACTGAGGCTGTAGATCCAGGACTGAGGCTGTAGATCCAGGACTGAGGCTGTAGACCCAGGACTGAGGCTGTAGACCCAGGACTGAGGCTGTAGACTGAGGCTGTAGATCCAGGACTGAGGCTGTAGATCCAGGACTGAGGCTGTAGACCCAGGACCGAGGCTGTAGACCCAGAACTGAGGCTGTAGACCCAGGACTGAGGCTGTAGACCCAGGACTGAGGCTGTAGACTGAGGCTGTACAGTAGATCCAGGACTGAGGCTGTAGACTGAGGCTGTAGATACAGGACTGAGGCTGTAGATACAGGACTGAGGCTGTAGATACAGGACTGAGGCTGTAGACCCAGGACTGAGGCTGTAGATCCAGGACTGAGGCTGTAGACTGAGGCTGTAGATCCAAGACTGAGGCTGTAGATCCAGGACTGAGGCTGTAGATCCAGGACTGAGACTGTAGACTGAGGCTGTAGATCCAAGACTGAGGCTGTAGATCCAGGACTGAGGCTGTAGATCCAGGACTGAGGCTGTAAGTAAGTAAGTAAGTTTTTTATTTATATACCGCCTTTTCACTGCGGATCTGAGTCTCAAAGCGGTTTACAATTGTTAATTTTGGGCATTTTGTCTCTCACTCCACACAGAGATGGGAGCGGGGTCGCCAGTACAGGAAGCGCATGCCAGAACTATTGGACATATTTTTAGTGGTAGGGGAAACCGGAGTACCCGGAGGAAACCTACGCAGACACGGGGAGAACATGCAAACTCCACTCAGAAAGGCCCTGGTCCGACCGGGATTCGAACCCAGGACCTTCTTGCTGAGAGGCGAGAGTGCTATCCACTCAGCCACCGTGCCGCCATTAGATCCATTCTTTTCCATCGGGACAATGAGCCTGAACATAAAGCCACAGCTACAATGGAATGGTTTACAACAAAACATGTTCACTGTTTGCAGAGTTCACACCAAATCCAAGTGGAACTTTTTGGAAATCGCTGTTCTCCATCTACTCAGACATATGCTTGACACGTGTTGTAAAGACGAATGGGAAAAACTTTCAGTCTCTAGATGTTTTATTGACCTGAGATAAAGTCCCACTGAGATTTTAGCTTCTCTTTTTCAGGGGACTCCGGGCCCCAGAGAGAGCAGGGGTCAGAGAGGGTGGTGTGGGGGACAATTGTACATGTTTTAGTGCTAGGGTAAACCGGAGCACCTGGAGGAAACCTACGCAGACATGAAGAGATCATGTAAACTACACACAGAGAGGTCTGAAGGTGGAATCAAACCCAGGACTTTCTGTGGAGCTCGGGTCTGGACCAGGCCCCACTTTCAATGTGTTTATGAGAAAAATATTCATGTTTCATTTTACTGTCAACTTCAAAAGAAAAAAATTACAGTTACTTTTTAAACTGGATTCTCCCACTCCGTCTGAGACCAGGATCAAAACATTTTCAGACTTTCATTCTTACGTCAAAGTCTGAGAACATAGTCTCTCTGGTCTTTCTCTGGTCTTTCTCTAGTCTCTCTCTGGTCTCTCTGGTCTCTCTCTGGTCTCTCTCTGGTCTCTCTGGTCTCTCTGGTCTCTCTGGTCTCTCTCTGGTCTCTCTGGTCTCTCTGGTCTCTCTCTGGTCTCTCTGGTCTCTCTGGTCTCTCTCTGGTCTCTCTGGTCTCTCTGGTCTCTCTCTGGTCTCTCTGGTCTCTCTCTGGTCTCTCTGGTCTCTCTGGTCTCTCTCTGGTCTCTCTCTGGTCTCTCTGGTCTCTCTCTGGTCTCTCTGGTCTCTCTGGTCTCTCTCTGGTCTCTCTGGTCTCTCTCTGGTCTCTCTCTGGTCTCTCTGGTCTCTCTCTGGTCTCTCTGGTTTCTCTCTGGTCTCTCTCTGGTCTCTCTCTGGTCTCTCTCTGGTCTCTCTCTCTGGTCTCTCTCTGGTCTCTCTCTCTGGTCTCTCTGGTCTCTCTCTGGTCTCTCTCTGGTCTCGCTCTGGTCTCTCCCTGGTCTCTCTCTGGTCTCTCTGGTTTTGTAACAGAGAAAAGAGAAAGAGCTTCTTGCTGAGTTTGTGTTTGATCAGCTCCAAAAGTCTTTGTGTTTGTCACGTGGGGGAAGTGTGGCAACTGTCAAAGTTCAAACAAACACAGAATCCAACCCAAGACTGAGCTCTGGTCTGGACCTCAGACCTGAGACCTGAGGTCTGGACCTGAGACCTGAGACCTGAGGTCTGGACCTGAGACCTGAGGTCTGAGGTCATTATTTCCTCTGGGACAAATACAGATGTTTTGATCTTATTTCACGTCCTGCACAGAGCCTCAGTCAGGTCCCTCCCCAGAAACTACTGTATGTCCTAAAATCCTCCTCTGGACCATGTTGAAAACTAGCATGGTTAATATGCTATGGCACCAAGACAGTGCATCTGGTCTGTTGGGACCATATCAAATAATACATCAAATAATGTGTTTGCAGACACAGGGAGAATATGCAAACTCCTCACAGAAAGGCCCTGTTTGAACTGGGATTTTCCACAATGAAGCCTCATAGTGAAGGGTTTCTACATTTACAATTATGCCATTACCACTGAGCAAAAACACAACTTATTTGCCCCAAAACCAGTGTCTCCTCTTCCTCTCACACAGGGCATCCAACCCGCCTTGCGACCTAGTTTTTTTCCAACTGTTTCTCAAATTTGGGTCATAAGAAAAGGTTATAAAACTACACACAAGTCACACGAGGGGCAATAGTTTGAATATCTGGACTCTCTCTCTGGTCTCTCACTTTGGTCTCTCACTTTGGTCTCTCTCTGGTTTCTCTCCCTGGTCTCCCTCTCTCTCTGGTCTCTCTCTCTGGTCTCTCTCTCTGGTCTCTCTCCTTGGTCTCTCTCCCTGGTCTCCCTCTCTGATCTCTATCCCTGGTCTCTCCTGGTCTCTCTCTCCCTGGCCTCTCCCTGGTTTTTTTCTTTGGTCTCTCTCAGGTCTCTCTTTCTGCTCTCTTTCTGGTCTCTCCCTTATCTCTCCCTGGTCTCTCTCCCTGGTCTCTTTGCCTGTTCTCTCTTTCTGGTCTTTCTGGTCTCTCCCTAGTCTCTCTCCCTGGTCTCTTTCCCTGTTCTCTCTTTCTGGTCTTTCTCTCTGGTCTCTCTCCTTGGTCTCTCTCCCTGGTATCCCTCTCTGATCTCTCTCCCTGGTCTCTCCCTTGTCTTTTTCTCTGGTCTCTCTCAGGTCTCTCTTTCTGGTCTCTCTTTGGTCTTTCCCTGGTCTTTCTCCCTGGTCTTTTTCCTTGTAGATCTGGTCTTTCTGGTCTCTCTCTGGTCTCTCTCTCTCTCTCTGGTCTCTCTCTGGTCGGTCTCTCTCTGGTCTCCCTCTCTCTGGTCTCTCTCTCTCTGGTCTCCCTCTCTCTCTGGTCTCTCTCTGGTCTCTCTCTCTCTCTGGTCTCCCTCTCTCTGGTCTCTCTCTCTCTGGTCTCCCTCTCTCTCTGGTCTCTCTCTGGTCTCTCTCTCTCTGGTCTCCCTCTCAGGTCCTGGGTACTCGTGACATGACTTTATAATTGGACTTTTATTTTGACACAATCTTGTATATACATATATGTGTGTATATACTGTATGTGTATGTGTGTATATATATGTGTGTGTAGGTACGTGTGTGTGTGTGTGTGTGTGTGTGTGTGTGTGTATATATGTCTGTGTACGTACGTGTGTGTGTGTGTGTGTGTGTGTGTGTGTGTGTGTGTGTCCCCACACAGCCTCAGGATAAAGAGCTAAGAGTTTAAACAGCTTTGACGACACGTGTCCTCAGGTGTGTTCTAGTTCACACTGAAATATTCAAATGTTTTTGCTTATGATCTCATCCTGGCTCCTGATTGGCCGATTGGTTGCTATGCTGTTGCTGTATGATCCTCCAATGGTGACGTCATATCCAGAGCTGTTTTCTGTTTCAAACTAAAGCTTTGTCTCTGAATTACCTTTGGAACAAAATGCTGTGAACAAACCAGACCACAACATTAGAAAGATCCCTGTGAGTCACTGTTTGGCTCTTTGGGCTGAGAGCTGATTGGCTGAGAGCTGATTGGCTGAGAGAGGGTCAATTACAGGACAATTACAAAGACCAAAACCAGGAGCAAGACCAGGACTAAGACCAGTACAAAGACCAGGACCAAGTGAAGGACCAAGATAAAGACCAAGGGAAGGCCCAAGACCAGGACCAAGACCAGGACCAAGAGAAGGACCAAGCGAAGGACCAAGCGAAGGACCAAGAGAAGGACCAAGAGAAGGACCAAGAGAAGGACCAAGAGAAGGACCAAGAGAAGGACCAAGAGAAGGACCAAGAGAAGGACCAAGAGAAGGACCAAGAGAAGGACCAAGAGAAGGATCAAGAGAAGGACTAAGACCAGGATCAAGAGAAGGATCAAGAGAAAGGCCAAGACCAGGACCAAGAGAAGGATCAAGAGAAAGACCAAGACCAGGACCAAGAGAAAGACCAGAAGACCAGGACCAAGACCAAGACCAAGACCAGGACCAAGACCAGGACCAGGACCAGGACCAGGACCAAGACCAGGATCAAGACCAGGACCAGGACCAGGGACCTAAATGCCCTTTGGTATTAATCTATAGTGCATCTATCTAAAGAACTGTATCAGAGGAACTAGGGATTTTAATGACTTTGCTCCGTTGTGGTTTGAAAGTTACGTAGCTCAGCTTTAAGAAACTCAAAGATGATAGATTTCTTGGAGTGTGTTTCGGTGGAGGACATGGACAGAAACTCTGGTCCGTGTTTCCTCTGCAGCTGTTTGATCCAGAAAACCAAAAGTTATCAATATTTATTATCATTTATAATTGTGTGTCCGTCTCTTCACACAAAGCGCAGCAGGAGACGCACATCTGCAGCAGTCGAGCGAGGACACAGGACCCTCCCCTCACAGAACGCTCAGTGCAGAATGCTCCTTAAAGCTGGGGTACTGTACTTTCAGAGCGCATCACTCCAACTGGCATCTCAAATCTATGTCAGTCGTTCCTGGCTCCAGACCATTTGCCTCTAGCACTAGATTGTGGCTAGTCTGGTCTTACCATGTGTAAACTCTGCTTCATGATCATTTCCTACATGGACGTCTGGGTCTGGTCCTAGCGGCTGCAGTTTCCACGGTTGAATCTCTCTGGTATCTCTGGTCTCTCTTGTCTCTTTTGTCTCTTTGGTCTTTCTGGTCTCTGGTCTCTCCCTGATCTCTTTCTGGTCTCTCTTCTTGGTTGCTCTCCAATCATTCTCTTCCATCTCTCTCTGGTCTCTTTCTAGTCTCTCTGGTCTCTTTCTGGTCTCTCTCTGGTCTCTCGCTGGTCTCTCTCCTTGGTTGCTCTCCTATCATTCTCTTCGATCTCTCTCTGATCTCTCTCTGGTCTCTCTCTGGTCTCTTTGGTCTCTCTCTGGTCTCTTTGGTCTCTCTTAGGTCTTTCTCTGGTCTCTTTGGTCTTTCTCTGGTCTCTCTCTCTTTGGTCTCTCTTTGGCTCTCTCTCTGGTCTCTCTCTAGTCTCTCTCTCTTTGGTCTCTCTTTGGTCTCTCTCTGGTCTCTTTGGTCTCTCTGGTCACTTTCTCCGGTCTGTCTCTGGTCTCTCGCTGGTCTCTGGTTTCTGGTTTCTGGTTGCTTTCTGGTCTCTCACTCCTCTCATTATTTTCTCCTAAAGCTCTTTAGAAGTGTTGACAATATTCAAAAACATAACGATCACAAGTGGAACCGACTTTCAGACCTGAGAATAACACGGCAGCTTTGTCAATCGAACCTCTATCCAATAATCTGGGTTTATTGAATCAACATTTCTTTAAAAAAAAGTCTTCTTTCCCATTGAGTTGTGTTGGCACCTGCTGAAATACACAAATACACTCCTCCTCACCGGGAAATCATCAGAGCGAGCCTTCTACACCTCATGCTTATAATCTTACGCGCTTACATTCGTTTTAATCACTCAACTATGACACACTCAATCTACACAGAGAGAAGTCTTCTGTCTCACGGTGACGGCTTTTATTATAAAAAAATGCGATCGTCATCAGATCTACTCTAATACACACATATAACAGACTATTGTCTAACAAATAGAGGACTACTGCGACTATCTAATGCGAAACTCTCATAGCTTGCTTTACTACTGTCAATAAGACTCTGAATCTACATTTGCATTTTATCAAAATCATTAAAGACATACTACACTTGGGTCGGTGTCTATATGATGCGCTATCAACCAACTTACAACGGTGAGGAGTAATTGAGTGAGGGATATTTATATATGAAACATCTAAACAGAGATAACAGATAAAGAGACAAAAACATCCACTTCCATTTATAGCTAGATAAGCTTTCAGGTTACTTCTAGCACTGAGCGCGTTCCATGAGTGGAAAACAAGTACGGATGGTAATATCCGTGCGTAGATCGCAGAGACGAGCGCGACTTATCAGCACGCGTGCTCATAGAGCCAGATAGCTACACACTAATGCGACCGACGGACGCGCGAGTCACAGCAGATCCTGTGTCGACGGCTCACTCCACTGCAGGCGGTCTGGAGACAGAGTGCGAGCAGCCGTGAGGATGCGCGGAGGGGGAGGATCAGAAAGGGCGTGTTGAGGGTGGTATGGGTGGGGGTGGTGGTATGTTGCAGCAGTTACACTAAAGAATATCAGGAGTGTGGGAGAGGGATGGGGGGAGCGGGTGGGGAGGGGTTGATGAAGAGGAGAGGGAGGAGTGAGGTGACAAGAGATGAGAGAGAGCGCGACGAGTTGTGGTATAGGGAGGTATGTGGTGAGCGAATAGCGGACGCGAGTGGAGGGGGTAGTGAGCGGTGGCGGGGGAGGGGGGGGGGGGGGGGGGGGGGGGTGGATGATAAGTACGGTGTACAAATGTGGGGATCGGTTAGGGGTGGTGTGTGGTGGGAGGAGGTGAGGGGGTGTGGGGGGCGAGGAAGACTGGGGGCCAGGAAGATGGAGGGTGGTTGGTTTTGTTTGAGTTGTGGGGTGTGTAATGTTTGATTAATGTTTAATTTTAATGTGTTAATGAGGTGTGATATGTGTAAGGTACGGAGTTTGTGAAATTTGTAATTTGTGTAAATGTGTGTCATTTAGTTGTTCGCGAGAGAGATGAGGAGAGAGGCGGAGTGGAGATAGAGCGCGGGAGGATGAGAGCCGAGTGAGAGGGAGGGTGGACGCGTGGAGAGGAGGGGATAGAGGAGGACCGAGAGGGGGAGTGAGGAACGGGCGAGAGGGGGGGGAGGGGGTAAATTGATTTTAATTTGAGGAGGAATAGGAGGGGGGGGGGTAGGGGATAGTAAAGGGGGGAGAGGGTGGGGGAGGAGGGAGGATGAGAGGGGGAGCAGAGAGGGAGAGAGAGCGCAGAGAGAGTGTGGGACGAGGAGAGATGAGAGGGAGAGGAGAGGAGATGTGGGGGAGAGGTGAGAGATCCAGAGGTGGGAGAGGCCGGGGGGGAGTTTGTAATTGTTGGACGAGAGGAGAGGTAGCGAGGGAGGGGAGGAGTAAGGTTTTGAGTATGGGATAGGTGTGGGTGAGTGAGGGAGGGGGAGTGTGGGGGGAGAGGGAGAGAGAGGGGAGGTGAGGAGAGGATGAGGGGAGGGAGAGGGAGAGGGTGGAGAGTTAATGGGTGGTTAATTTTATTGGGGAGAGGGAGGGGTAGGAGAGATGTGGGGTGGAGAGGAGGATGTTGGGGGAGGGGGGGTAGGATTGGTGGGGGGTGAAGGGGTGGTGGGTGGGAGGGGGAGGGAGGAGGGGAGTGTAGAAGAGGGAGGTAGAGCATGAGGTGGAGACGCAGTATCAAGGTGAAGGTAGGTAGAAGGTGTTAGACATGTTGTTTGAAGGGTGAGTGTGCTCAACTAAATTGGGGATATGGGTGAGATGTACATAAGTGTAGGCACAGGTGCTAGGGTACACTCAGATTGGGAGTTACGATATACTAGACGACACACTAATGTGAGAGTGGACTATAAGTAGTGTGAATAATAAAAGTGCTGCAGGTGGGATCAGAAAGTTATAGACCGGATAACACTTTGTATAGACTATAGTGGAGTGATATAGGTGACAGACATAGGGCGCGCGATGGACTGGAGGATACGAGCTGAGCATGAGGATATTAGTTTACATAGGGTGGAGCGAAAACAGAGGAGATATGGGGGAGGCACATCACTAGAGGAGGTGAGGGGGTGTAGGACTTGCGATTGGGTATGAGCTGGGGTAGGTGGTCAGGACGGTAGTGCAAGACGGTAGTGACAGTGGAGGGAGGACGCTGGGTTGCAAGAGTTATAATGTCGCTCAGGCGATAGAGGAGAGATGTGTGAGTGCAGATGGATTAAGGAACTGGGGGGGGGTGTTAGGATAGACACAGATGATAGAAATGTTGATAGGAAGTTGATGGTATGTGCATCTGGAGGAACTTTATTACTAAGGGGGGTACGAGCTTATGGCATACGGATAACAAATATTTAGATGAGGACAGCTTGAGTAGGCTGGTGGGGATGCGGAAGTGTAGGATTAGGTTCAAAGGAATTGGTGAAAGGAGAAAAAGAAAAGTGATGTATGGAAGGGAGAGAAAAGCTGGGGAAAGGGGGGATGAAGTATGCAGGATTGGAATGGGGTAAAGAGGGAGGGAAGAGAGATGAGGATAGGGGAAGGTATGGGGAGAAAATAGGAGGGGGAAAGAGAAGAAGGTGGGAAGAAGCAGGGATAGGGTGTAAAAAGACACAGAAGGGAGCGGGAAGTTGTACGTGTGCGGCTGTGGATTGGGACAATGAGTGGTGCGACATTCTACTGTGACACAGGAGAAGTGACTGTTGAGGATAGGTCACAGAAATATAGACATAGGCACAAGGCAGTAGAAGGGGGGGGGTGGCGTTGGGGTCGTCGAAAGCATACAGTGAGTTAAGATGTTGTAGGGGTGTAGCAGAAATGTGGCATCAATAGGTAACAAAGGGAGACAGGCACACCGAATGACAATGTGCTGGGGGGTGGAGCTGAGATCATTCTGAAAGCTCTCATGGGTGTATGGAGACAGTAATGCATTACATACTTGGAGATATCATATGTATTTGTGAGAAATACAGTACGTGAGTATTCTGGTAACATTTAGGGTGGGATGATGCAGGGGAGAGATTGTAGATATGAGTGGGTTTGTTGAAGTGTGAAGAGGAGAGGAGTGGTGGATCCTGGGGGTAAGGTGCAGTGGCAAGTTAGGTGTGATTAGGATGTGGAGCGAGTGTGATACAAGTTGTTTGGGTGAGGGTGTTATGAGCAACGGGGTGAGTCGTCTATATTGGTGTCGAGATGCACTTGCTGTGAGACGGAGATGGGGAGGACATAGAGATTTATGGGTAGGAAGATGTGGTTATAACGGTGGTTAGTGGCGAGCAATTAGAAGACGAGATATGTCCGGACATCAGGAAAGGGAGTAAGACTGACAGTGAGTTGCTGGGTCACAGGATGAGTGTGGCACACAGGGGATGAGTCACAAGGAGGCTTGAAGGACTAAGTGAGGGCGAGGGACACGAGTGAGATACTTAGGTGGAGCACACATATACGGTTATGTGTGCTCTCAGTGTACAGTCATGGCGGTGTCAGGACATAGCGAGGATTGCATAATGTGAAGAGTAAGTGGAGTACACGGATGAACAGTGGGAGGACAAAAAAGGCAGACATCAGGGTGTCAGTATGCGAAGACGTGACAGGGATTGACACATACGATGCAATATGGACACGTGGGTAAGGAATGACAGAAAGTAGGTCCACGCGTGATCTCATGCAACGACGGAGTACAGGGTGACACATGTGTGGCGCTGACAGATTACACGATGAGTAGTCACAAGCGACAACAGCTTGTGTCAGGGGTCTCATGAGGAGACTGTAAGAGAGTGGAAGGGTGGGACGGCGAGACGCGACACGTACAGAGAGGAGATATGACACATACAGGGGGGGTGAGACATGAGGAAGGATGGGGGCAACGAGGATGAAAAAGATGGGGGGACAATGCAATCATGAGTAGAGAGCAATTATTGTGATCACAGATGACTACACAGAAGTGTAACTATATGAGATAGGGAGCGGGGTTGAGTAGTTGTTGTATATGTGGACAGGTATAGGGAACAGAATATTGACACAAGAAGTTTGTGAGTGATGGCACTTGGCTAGAGTGGTGCAGAGTAGTAGATGATTATAGGATACACTGAGGCACTGCATCTGAGTGTAAGGACACTGTACAGATATGTAACAATATCAAGGGACTATAATAGACTGGCAGTGAGCGATGAAGAGGACAGATGATTAGGAGGCTTGATACGAGAACTGAGTGTAGAGTATAGGAGTGTAGGGGGTGGGTGATGAGATTGGTGAGAAGTGTTGCGTGGAAACAGTGGGGGGTCACACATGTATGAAAAATGTTAGTGTGGGGGGAGGTGGTGTATGGGTGTGGAGGTGTGGTGAGGTGGGTGGTGGATTTTATAGTTTTCTGTGGTGGGAGAGAGAGAGTATGGGTAGAGGTGTCAAAACTACTGAGTAAAGTTAGTGAGAAGATTGAGGGTAATGCGAAAACACTGCAAGATGACTTAGATGTCATGTGCGGCATTAGTTGATAGGACAGAGAGGTGGGATGGAACATGGAGATTGGTAGGATATCTGAGACATTATCTCTATGACGAAGTGTTGGGGTGGGAGTAAATGTGAGTATGAGTAGTATAGATGGGGGATTATTATATCGGACGATATGGGAGGGATATGAGTATTATAGTAAGAGTACAAGATTGTGGTTACATGTGGACAGAATGCGGATGGTGCAGGATGAGATATGAAGTATGGCACTACAAGTGATCTCTAGCGAGAGGATGGAGCATGGGGAGATGAACATGCACACAAAAGAGGGAGGGTCTCACAATAGAGTACGCTGGATAACATGGACACTGTATGTGAGTGAGGATGAGTCACAATTAGAGAGTGCAAGTGAGGTGGCGAGATAGCGATGCAGTGATTCAAATGGGAGGAGAGGAGGAGGAGGAGGAAGAGGGAGGAAAGTGAGCGACAAGATAAGCTTTCACACGAGGTAATGAGGAATGACATGTTAATCATTGACAGTGCGCATGATTAGGATGAGTGAGAATATATCATCTGACCTTTGTATGTCTGTCATGCATGAACACAAGAGGAATAGATGAAGAGAGATCAAGCGGACAGAAAGTGCCGGGGATAGAGGAGTGTACAGTGAGGTCGCAGGAGTGATAGAAAGATTTTGGCATGTGTTGATTTGGCACACAGTAGCTGACATGTGGCAAGTCATTACTGGAAGATCTAGGGTGGAGAGCTAGCACACAGAGGTGGAAGATAGATGAAAGTCTGAGAATCACTATTAGAGGGACAGGCAAGCTGATAGTAGTATATTGGATAGGCTCAGAATAGACTGTACGAACGATTGACAGTTGAGCGAGTAATGTGAATAATGGGATGTGTAGTGGAATGATAAATTGACGTTGAATATTTGTATGGAGTCACACTGTTAGTTGTGGATCTAGGATTGACGTTAGAGGATACGAGTCTGAGTGATAAGATGATACAAAGTAGATTGCACATGAGATGAAAACAACATGGGGAGCAAGAATGATCACAGTGATTTACAACTAGTAGTGTTAAGGATGCAACACATCCATTGGTCACACAGTATGTAAATTGGTTGAGCACATTGCATACTCATATGAATTGTCTAGAGGTAATATCAACAAACTGTAAGACATCTCAGGGCAGGTTTTGATCAAGTATGTCATGGCAGGGACTAGTGAGTGATGATATACTCAAGGGGACAAAATATATGCACAAGAACACTAGTGAGTGCGCGATTTTGGTTATATTACCATGACTAGGATTGATGTGCTGTTGTAGAAGTGTTTACAATATAGTTGTGACATGTGGTGATTTGAGAAGAGTGGATAAGAATGAGATTCTGTAGTAGTGGCATAGGATAGCAATGAGGAGCGATGGCATCTATTGTATCTGTTGAATATGTAGGTGGTATTATTAGTGAGGACCAATGTTAGGATGTGTATACCAATGGACTATGATATTATGTTGTGATACACTTGTACAAATGAAGACAGTGTGTTGAGCAAGTGTGTCTAGAGGAGGATCAAAAGGAGGTATCGATAAGGATGGGAACTCATTTGGGGATCTCATTATTTTTGGATTAATGACGTGGAATTGATACGCAGATAGTATATCACTGGGTTGCACAGGGTGTGGTTAACACATAGTGAGGATAAAAATGAATCAATCACAAGAGGATTGTACGGGATGGGAACTACTGAGCATGGATGGGAAATGTCAATAGAGTCACTAGCACTTCACTAGAGATGAGGTATTAGATTTGATAGGTCGCATGAGTGTGATCTGATCTATCAAATGTGGCGATAGTTTGGGTTAAACAGAGTGAATGGGAGATAGAAGCATGCAGTGGAGAGGAAACAATGGATAATCACATATGAGTAGGAATGATGAAGAGTATTGACATAAGATGGGTAGAGGAAGTGTATGTTAGCAAAGTGGTATGACGAAATCTGCTATGCTGATCCGCTAAGATGTTTAGAGTATCAAGTATCGTGTGAGATATGTTGAAGACAGATCTACATATAGGTTTCATCTGAAGTCACGGTTGAGAGGAGCCTGGCTTAATACTAGTGGGGTAGGAGTATGGTGTAGTCACGTCGTATAGTGGGCGAGTGGATGACTCTAGTAGCTGAGTGGTGATAGGTGGTACATGAGGAGTATGTA